ATACAAATACCAGTTATACAATATTCTCTTAATATACAAAACGGGTAGAAGAACGAGGGAACTGCGCAAACCTTGTCATTATTTGACTGAACATTGGTAATTGTGTGACAGCGAAGATTAGAGCAGAGAGAGTCCAAGTAAGAGCGCAAGATTCTCAGGAAGCCCCTTGCAGCTTCAACCTGATAGAAGCAGCAGTTAATGGCATCATATTTGGGCATGAGAATTTTGTAAAACTGGCGAAAAAGATTGGTATGAGAGAGAATACCTGCACATCTGTACACTCATAAACCGGTCTTTTCCTTCCCAAATAACTCTCTCCCACAAGTTTGGCATGGTATGGACTTAGGTATGAGTATAGTTCCTTGTGTTGGGGTAGTTGTGGTATCGAATGCGACTTCACCTAATATTCAGTCCAAAGTTTTATTTTTGTTGGCATAAAGTTACCAATAAATAAGGAGTATATCAAACATTTTCTTATTTTGTTCACATTTGATTCTTTCTTTGGATTAAACTTTCAAAAAATGTATTTTTTGGGGGTGGGGTGGGGGTGGGGTGGGGCAGAGGTACTCTGAATACCTGATTCTTATTTGCATCGACAACAATGGCATTTGTCAACTTCGACTGCACTTCAGAGCTTTTGTTCTTCACACCTACCTACTCGAATAAAAAATATTAAAAAATGACACAAAAGGAAAGAATTGAATAGGATCTAAACGTTCAGTTAATTTAAAATTTAACTAGAAGCAATTATGTGGAATACTCACAATATAAGGAACGGGTGCGTCCAAAAAGTCAAGCATGTCATTAGGCAAAACCTGGACATTCAAGTGTCATTAGCAAAAGCGAAAAAATCCGGGCTAAGGCAAAGAATTGTGTTGGGGTGGAGACAATAAGACTACCGGCATTAACCAGCTTTCCCACTGGTAAGGGCGTATAAGTGGAATAATGGCAAGAACACAAGCAGATAATACACCCTACACATCCCATTAGGCAACAGTGAGATTGATACAAAATGCTTTGTAAAGGAAGATTCATAAAGCTAATGATCAAGAAATGAAGGAAAAGCCAAAATGATTGTTAATCAAAATAACATATCAGAAGTGAAATAATTTAACAAAATGGTTACAAAATGGAGGGAAAGTGTACCCACCAAATTTGAACAGACGATTACGATTTGCTTTTCCAATAGTGCCCCGGCAAAGAGTGTCAAGACCTGTAGAATGCAAAAACAAAAAAGATGCTAAGAACCATTGCCATAGCACTGAAGCTTAACACTGTTTGGTTCAAGAATTTGCAAGGGAAAAGAAAAATGAGATGAAAAACAGTCTTTCTTGTTGGGTTAGAGAGGAGAAAAGAAAGGATAGTGGAAGGAAGAGAAAATGAGAAGGCCAAATGTATTAAGAGGGGGGAAACCCAAAATCCTCCCATTTTTTGGTGAGGAAAATGAGAGAAAATCAATTTCTTTTCTTTCCATGTTCCTTTAACCAAACATAGTGTAAATTTTCCAACTTGAAAACACTTCAAGTAAGATCGTTATGTGTGACGCATCAGATGCCTATCAAATTTGATTCAAATATAAGTGCGAGGTACACCTCACCTCTTGAGGGCCCTTATAGAATTAATTAGACCAATTTAACAAAGAACAACTTGTTAGACTATATATTGTGTGCATACATGCTCTAGACGCAAGGAACCACATAAACATGCAATAGCCCAGACAGATAAAGCAGTTGCCTCCTCTTCCACCATAAGGGCATTGTGAGCCTACAATAATACAACAAAATAAAATTTAATAATCTCCACAAGAACAGGTCACATAAAAATCTTTATATTTCAAAAATGCCCCCAGCCATAAGAAATCAGTTACTTAATATGAATGGGATATCATTCAAAATGTGTAAAAGTACCTCAGCCAGTTCCAAACTTGTGCTGCATGATTTCAAGTCAAATGTTGATCCAGCAATGTGTAAGACTGTTTCGTCAGGCCTATGGTATTCCAAAGGATGCAAGTGATCCAGAGGATGAAACTTAATTGCTGAACCGCGTGCAGGGAGATCAAGCTTGTAGTACTCACATATGATTTGCAAGGAACCACGGCGACAGTCCTAAATCAAGAATGTGATAAAACAGTGATTAATAAGACCTCATTAGCTTTTTCTGTTTAAAAAGGCTTTTTTTGTAACAGTTATCTAGTACACAAATCGAAGGAGGGATCAACCTTGGCCCATTCAAGTATATCACTATTTTGACTAGATTCATCTTGGCCTGAAAAAGATACTTCTGTCTCTGCTTCATCAATGTCACTTGGAGAGCCTTGGAAACTTAACCATAGCAATTATAAACACTATATTAGTTTCATTAGAAAGGTTTGGCCCTCTACTCCTTGGAGTAGAGGTAAGAAGTGCCACTTTCTAAAAAGATAAATATGGTACCTGAATGAAGAATCTGAGCTCTCGTATTGATGATACCGCAAAAGTGGCAAAACAGAGTTTGGTGCACCCCTCTCAGCCGTATTTTTGATGTCTTCATTGCAATTATTAGTTTCAGGTCTTTGTGATCCATTTACATCTCTGTTATTATTAATATTATTATTATTGTTATTATTATTATTATTATTACTACTACTATTATTATTATTATTATTATCATTATCATTATGATCCTTCTCCGTGTCCCCATCGCTGCTAACTTCCTTGCAAGAGGAGAAACTCTCAGTAGTTTGATGGTGTTTCTCTGTGTCACCATCACTGTTAACTTCCTTACAAGAGGAGAAACTCTCAGTAGTCTGATGGTGTTTCTCTGTGTCACCATTGCCAGCTTCCTTTGAAGGGGGAGATGAATCCCTTTTGGTTTCATCAACTGAAACCGTGTTATCACTTCCAGTATCACCAGAAGAGGAGATACTAACTTCAAAGATTTGATGTTCCAGTTGAGAAACCTCATTGACAGTTACCATACTTGTAACAGATTCTGTTACTGCTGTAACTGATTCTGCAACTGCTTCCTTATCTTCAGATGAAATGCTGGGAGAATTTTCTTCGAGCGAGTCCTTATCATCAAAAAACGTGGAGAAATTGATATCAAGATCATCAATTTGCTTTGTTAACCTTTCCAACCTCTCCTCAATGAAGATGCTGCCATATACAGGAGCCAACATTATTGATTTGCTTTAATTTAGGGCAATACGATAAACCAGTTCGAATATATAGATATACCTATTCAGAACACCAAAATGGAGTTCAAAATATGGAAGCCTGGAAAGAATGCAATAACAACGGCGTGTGGTCAAAATATGGCGACTTGAGCGAATGTGAACAGGCTGTACTTCTGACATCATCGACACCAACCCGGAGGGTTTTTGTACTATTTCATCAACCAATACGCAGCAACCATAGAGAGTTGAATTGTCAGTAACCTACGAAATGACAGACCATTGTCAGATTGCACGGAAATAAATCTACTAAAAACATGATAACAGATGAGTTATGATACCTGCAGCCTAAACACAAATGACTGATCACTTTGTTTGAGGTGTTCCTGCAAAACATTAAGAACATTTTTTTAGAAGTTCTGATATAGCTTAATTGGTCAATTTGTTTGAAAAAGTACAAGTCTTTTTAAATCTTCACCTGCCCTAAAAGCATTTCATTTAACTCACTCATTGATGGTGTTCTTTCAATCCCATGAACCTGAAATCAAGAAAAATGTCTATTAGAGTTCAGTAATCACAAATACAGAGTGAATTGTTTCTATTAACCTTAGGGAATAGAATGATTTTCCATAACCTCTACTCCAGATGGAAAGCAGAATGAGAGAAGATCCTTGTATTTCAGCGGAAGTTGTTTTTCTGGAGGGTATACAAACAAGACCTGTAAGTCAAAGACGTACATGATGTTCAAACGAATATCAATCAAAATTTCCAGAATTTAAACCAGAGTGGGGAAAAAATTCACACAAAATAATAACAATTCAGAAATGGAACCTGAGGTTCAAGGCTGGGTTCCACCCGTGAATGATGCTGACCACTAATAGCACTTCTAAATCTTCCAGAACCTTCAGACTTTCTTGAGAAGTAAAGTGTTTGAAGAGCCTGGATATCACAATTAGGATGAAGTCCAACCACTACCATGCTCTCAAACAGCTTTGATGGCTCTTTCCAAACTCTGTGATCCTGAAGACTTAAGTAAAGATAATCACCTCTATAAAAAAAACTTCATCCATAAAATAATAATCCAAATTAAAAAAAGGGAAACGTACTAGAGATTGCAACTGTAAGTTGGCCCATTGTCGCTTTTGGCTGGTTAGTATTTCTGGGTTGTAAAGCCTGCTTTTTGCCACGGGAGGACTCGATAAACCTTTTATCAGCTTAGAAACTTGGTTCTGAAGCTTCTTCATTGGGCTACCACTGTCGTCCTTGGAGGAATATACCACCGAAGGGCGTGGGGACCGCACCGAAGCTGCTGCAGCAGCAGCAACCGCTTTTGCAACATCTTCGGTTGTCTGGAAAAGTGATGCTCCCCAACTAGGGCTACCTGGCTCCTCTATTTTCTCTGTCGTACATATTTCCTCTCTCTATTGCCAACAGAGAACAAAACAATACAATAATTAAAACCAAGAATGGATGCCAATACTTAGATCATCTTAGTCCACTATGTTTTTTCATATGATTTTCAAGAATGTGCGGTATGCATGTGCTGATAATTAGAGAGAGTACCAATTTCTCTGCAGGAATATTCATTTTCGGAAGAAACATCTGTCTCTACCTGTAAAAAGAAGAAAAGGGATGGATCAACTGCATCCGCATCCTAACAAAACTTCATAAATTACGGAGTATTTTTTATAATAAATTCTAGAAATAGAAAACAAAACCAAAAGGGTGGATCTCAGAAAAAAAATCAATATACAGCTTTAGTCTCAATATTGACCATAAACATTTGTTTTAATTGTGATCACAAACTTTAAATTTAGATTCATAACAAAAATATACTCTGTAATAAACAGTTCTATCCTCTGGAAAGGAGGAATCCAGCAAAAGTTCAAACACAGTGAAAAGTTTGAGGAACAAAACCTAAAGAATTTCCATAAAATTCACAACTTTCCTCCAGCAGATAACAACTCTAAGACAGTAGACTAAAATCACGTATATTTACCACAACTTTGAAACTTTCAATCCATCGGAACAAGAAAATTTTGACTCTTCTTTCATTTCTACGAAGACCAATGACCAATCGAAGCTTGTTTTGACCAAATATACAAAAATTGCAGCAAAAAAACCCTTGACAGATCAATTAAACAAATATTCACATGAAAAAAATCACACCCTACAGAAATCAAAGGGTTTGTATCTGTGGCTCTGCAATATAAAGAAAAAAACTCACCTTTTAGATTACCTGGGTTCTGAAAGAGGAATCATCAAGAACAAGAATTTATGTGTCTATATATACATATGAAAACATGTCTATATGCAGAAGATATGGATGTTGAAAAGGAAGTTTTGGAGAGAGATGGAGAGGGGGGTTTGATATGGAGTCAGGCGGCCATGGGAAAAAACGGAGCTCTTGAAATTTTGGAAATTTGGGAAACAGAAGAAGAAGGGAAAAATTTTCCCAGAGCGAAAATGGGAAAAGGGGAAATGTATGTGGGTAATAGTAATTAAGAAGGTATTAACTCCTGTGATTATCACCAACAATGCAGAAATGTATGTGCGTAATTGTAATTAAAGAGTGTAAATGACAGTAATTTATGAGTTAATAACAATTAAGAGAGACAAAAAACAACAAAAATAGAATCATTTTGGGATATGGGAATAGTAGTCATAAATAGGAAATGACGTTATAGAAAAGAAAAAAGGATGAGAAGCATGAAGAGTGGTAGTGTGTGACGAATGATACAACCATATCGGACGATCTTTTCTTGTGACGCCTTATTTTTGAAACATGGGCCACATCCTATCCTTATTCACATTCTTTTTACTAACATTCAATATGAAGTTTGGTGATAAATGATTTATAACTTCGTATATATACCTACAAAATGTTAGAATCAAGCATGTAATCAGAGAAAGTTAAGCGTGTTTATTAGAGAAGTTTAGTTTTGCATTTATTTTTTATAGGACATCTTTGTCACTCTTATCGTATACGGAGTATCTGGTTATATATGTTTGTCTTTTGTGCATTTACATTTAGTGCTTGTGCTTTTGAGTCTCTTTGGTTTCAAAGCATACTGGCAGGTTATGATTGTGAGTATTTGACTTCTATTTGTGCGTTAACACTATGTCTCATGTCTATGCTTGTTGAAATTTTTTGTTGGACATATTTGTCACTAAGATCGAATGCTTGTATATGTTTGTCTTCTGCAGACATACATGCAGTGTCCATACGAGTCTATTTCATTTTGTGGTCTTAAAAGAGAAGTCTTTCTGAGTCTTTCTTCACAGAGAATGACCCTACGTGGAAGTAAGTAGAGAAAATTAGGTCAACAATCTTATTTGTGGAATATGAATGATTTTGAATAACTTATGTTTTAAAACATCATGAATTTATACTATTATTATTACTTTTCGGAATATAAAATGTTGTTTTAACAAGTTGATAGTGTTTTGATATGCTAACCCGTGTGAATCATGTTATGAGAGTCAAGGTATTGCACACAGTAGGGAGTGGAAAGGAAGAAAACCTAATCGAACAGATTCACGCTGCAAAAGAACAACACACTGGTGGCTTGTTTAGTTGTCAAATCAAGTTTCTCGATAGCGTAAACCCAACAGTGAGAATTTAGAAAATTTTGCATCTCTTCTAACTTAGAGGTCTTGGTGTTAGAGGGGGCAGACGTCTAATCGGCCATGTCAATTCACACCATTGTCTAGAGGAGTTGGAGACAAATAGTGGAAATTTAGAGAAATCAAAGACAAAGAATGTAATGTTTGGAGAATGAGAATTAGGTATGCTTGAATCGGGAGAGTTGAAGTTGAAAAGGCAGAGACAACATATGCGATCTCAAGGTTGATGATGACGTTCACCATAATGAAATATTGGCTAGTGGGTCAGTCATTAGAGTGCTTGGGTGCATGTATGTCAGTAGTAAAAAAAGAAAAAAAGGAACTTGTATTTTTAAGTTACGATGTTAAATGTAGTTGATTCTATTATTTATAATGTTTTGGCAGACATGTCCTTATAAGAAATTAAGGGGTGTGAGATGGGTATAATGAGTTGTGAGAATTATTATTTTTAAATCGAAAGTAAAGATTTATTCAAACCAATGCAGTCCCAAATACAAGCAACATCAAGTACAAAGATAATCAAAATATCAAAACAAATAATTTGACACCATTAACAACTCAACATAAATCTTAGATATCAATTATATATTGACATGATAAATAATTCAATGGGTGACATCTTGAAGCAGGACAAGTTTACACTGATGGAGCATTCGATTACAAGCTTTCCAAATATAATAGACACATGCACTGAAGATAGTTATAATCCTCCTCCTTTTCAACGGTTGAACATTATGAAATTTCACAAAAAAAAAAAAAAAACTTCAAGGCTACCTCCCTCAATTTTAAAAAGACTCCAATAACTTATTTTCTTATAGACATCGTTTGTATAAAAACAACCATCGCTCTTGCTATGGCATTCCCAAATGTTATTGTCCTTAATGTATTTGTTATGAATTCATTTGATCCATAATACATCCCTTTCAAAGATATGTCTCACACCAATTTCATGACGGTAGCTTTATTCTACATGATCAAGTTCTTGAAGCCTAGTCTTCCACTCTTCTTAGGTAGACAAATACCATCCTGAGGAACCAACAAGATTTTCTTATGTTCTTGGGTAGGTCCCCATAAAAAACTCATGCACAGAGATTCAATCTTCATCATGACTTTAGTAGGAATTAAAAACAACCTACTCCAGAAGCTAATAGCACCATACAAAATAGAGTTAATCAGTTTAGCCTTGGCAGCATAGGAGATGTGCTTTGAGGCCTAAACTTTAATCTTAATAGTCATCTTCTCAATTTACCTCTCACAGTCCTCATTAATTCTAGAATAGGTGCTAGGTCATTCTAGGTGGCTGAATAGTAAATTACCTTTCCTCATGTTAGTAATCTGAAGAAGTTTAGCCTCGAATTGTTTAATGACTCCTCTAAAAATGATTTCCCTCATAGTAAGCCTCGTGGTACAATTAAAGTGTCTCAAGGCCATCATAATACAATTGATAATTCTCTCCTCAGCCTTACAGGCTATAATGAGAACATTCTGAAATATAACATTGATGAGTTTAAGTGATTTACAGGGATGGGTGAAATCCAAGTTTTTCCTTCGAGGCATAATATCGTAAAGATCTAGTGTAGTAAAGATCTAGTGAGATATTCCATAATGAAAACAAATAACAAAAGAGGTACAAATTTTCCTTGTCTTATACCTTTGCCACCTTTATAGAAACTAAAATTTCTCCTCCAAACTAAATAGAATAAGTTGTGGTAGTCGCACAATATCTCATCCAAATGATAATTTTGGAGGGAAACTTCAATAGTGTTAAGAGTTGTACAAGAATAATTGTTTGTGTAAAGATTCTGATGTATTTTTCTAATAACTTATATACTAGTAAATTTGTATTGACAATGAGGCGCGAGCAGCTACTATGTAAATGGTTTGGTTTGACAGTTATATTAAGCAACACAATCAAATTCCACAAAAAGTGCATCAAACGAAGGTTGGCAAAGGAAGTTATAAATCTCCCACCCTGACTATCATTTATATTGATTGTGTTGCTAGCAATGAAGAATTATATCGGTGGATTAGATATCTATTGCAATACAAATTTCTAATTTTTTCCCTATTTATTTTCATTCCCCCTTTTCTCAAACAAGCACATCCTAGAGCTCCACCCATTTGTTAATGCATTTTTTTTTTATATCAAAAGGCTAAATTTTAGACTTTATTTTTGACAAAGTTCTCTTAAAAAATGCCCTAAATTTGGCATGCTGGCAACGTCATCAAATAGACATTACTATGTTAGGAGTACAACTAATAACTAGTCAATAGAACTTAGCATTGTTGTCTCTCTTTGCACACATGTGAAAAATATTCAAAATCACATTGGCTTATACAATTGAAAAATGTCAGGGATACGTCAACTGGTGAACTCCAATTGTACGTACCCCAATCGTTTAATACTACACATTTTGTAGTTTAAGAAAAAAATTATAATACTCCTTCTGTCCCCTTTTAGACAAAATTAAGGAAGAGTCAAATCAGTATTTTTTTCCCCAAATTACCCCCCAAATAGTATAGGAATGTGTAGGTGGGTGAGATATTGACATTGAAATTATAAAGGGGAGGGAGGGTAAAAGAGTCCATTTAGTGTAAAAGTAAACACTTTGTAATTCTTTTTGGGACAAAAATAAGAGGGAATATTGTAATCTAATTGGGGACGGGGGGAGTAAGTATTTGCGGTTCAAGATGTTTAGGGTACATTTTTTATGTACCCCTAACATTTATCTACTTCTGTTTCATTTATTTTAGCTTTAGACCTTGTTTTTTTTTTTGAAAACAAAGAAATCACTTCACTCAACCAAAAAAGGCCGTACAAAATCAGGTGGAGTCACAAACCAAACCCCAGCCTCCATCACAACTCTTTTCGCCAACACATGAGCTACCACATTAGATGTCCGAGAGACAAATGACAAAGTAGCATAATTAAACTGAGATAACAAGCCTCGACAATCACTAATAATCGAACCAACATAAGACAAAAAAGTATACTCTCCATTTATTGCATCCACAACCCTAGAGCAATCCGAGAACACCTCCAACTCCGTAAGTCCTTGCTCCCTCGCCCAACCCAAAGCCCTTCTACATGTCATCGCCTCCGCTAAACCTGGATCAGTCTCACATACTAATTCTCCATTCAACGCAGCAAAAAAAGAGCCATCATGGTTAAAGAGACTTGAGAGTAGTGTTTTTATTTGCTTTAATTAGCATTATAGATGACTTGCTCAAGTTAAATATTATTATTAGATACTCTTTTTTAAATTTTAAGACTAAACGTTGAAATCATTACTAAAAACGTCTTTAAAGGTTACATTTCATTTAATTTCAATATATTATTTTAATTTTACATTTAATTGTATAGAAATGATCATTTTGAGAATATATATATATATATATATATATATATATATATATATATATATATATATATATAGAATTTAGATGAAAGAAATACTAAAATACTCCCTCCGTCCCGGAGTATTCGTCCAGTTTTGACTTTTGAAACTGTTCATCTAAGCACTTTGACTCATCAAATTCTCTCAATGTGTAAGCCTAAATATAGTCATGTGTGATCTTGTTTGATTTGTCTTAAGATATAGATTATTAATATATAATTTGTATAATTTTTTAATATACAAATTACAAGATGAAATGGATTAAATAAGTGTATTGGATGGTGTGTAAAAATGAAAGTGAACAGATAATCTAGGACGGAGGTAGTATCTTTTAATTGATCATCACTTCAATAACATTATTTATGAAAAATTACTTGACGAATAAATCTTAATTATGAATGATCACCTAGGTAAATAAAACTTAGAGGACTTAATTGAGAAATGCTTTCTCCTCCCTTGAAAACTTTTCTCCTTTTATTGCATACATCCCAGAAAGCTTTTCTCATTTATATTAAAAAGTCACTTTTATACATACTAATATTTAACTTAGCTACATCACATTTAGAGAGAAAACTAAAATTAAACTAAATATTGAAAATATATCAAAATAGATCTTCCATATTTTTATTTCGAAATAGAACTTAAAATGTACCGAGTATTTACATTACCAAATATGTTCATGTACATTACTAAAAAGTATAATAGTGTGCACATATACAGTGTCACATTATCATAGTGCGAAGTCTTATTTTGAAAAACAAAACATGAAAGATCTATTTTGATACTTTTTTCTATGTTTTAGTTCTATTTAAGATGATTTCTATCTCATTTATTCACTATAAATTTGCTCATCAAATTTTAATTTTACATATCATATTTAAAAACATTTTAGAAAACTCAACACTAAAATACACTTCTTTAAATCCATTCAAAATCAAAATCTTTGATATTTTGAGAGATAGGAAGTAAATTATTACAAAAACCATTTTCGGAATTTAATTATACTTCATAAAAAACTCTAAAAGACCCGCAAAGATGGTAGAATGACGCATTTAACCCCTACAGATAAGCCGGAACGGCGTAATCAACCACCAGCACGCCGTCCAGAAACTCCCTCACCTTGTCCTTCTCCTCCTTCGCCGCCGCCGCCGCCGATTCCGACTCCAATGACTCCAAATCTTTCACCCCTCCAAACACGGCAACCGATCCGATCGAGAAGCCCTTCGCCCTCGCCGGCGACAGGTTTTCCCCCACGCTCAGCTGATCAATCGAAGGGAGCTTCTCCTTGATTCCTCTCGTCACCCTCAGAATCTCGCCCTTCTCGCCTTCCCCCGAATTCTCCTTCAGCTTCAGAAATGTCACCCTCATGGCAGATCCGGGAGGCACCTTCACCGGGCCGGCTAATTCGTCGGAGATCCAATCGACGGCCATGATGTCGTCGCAGATCGGAAGCACGTAGGCCTTGACGACGCCCGTGTGATCGGGGTGGGCGGAGTAGGCGGCGAGATCGGACATGGAGGCGTACCGAGAATGGAGCAGGTGGGAGAAGGCGAAGGAGTCGGATCGGGTGCGGAGCACCGCACCGGCGGTGAGGTGGAGCACCTGCGGCAGGGACGTGAGACCGTTGAGGTTCGCCACCATGTCGTTGACCTTGGAAGCGTCGGCGTCCGGTTTGACCTTGAAGAGCACCACGTGCTCGACGATTCGTCCAGCCGCAGACATTCTGACAGTCGAGGAGGCGGAGAAGCGGCGGCGTAAGACGGCGGCGGATGGAGAGTGGTTGCGCAATGCTAAAAAGTGCGGTTTAGCTGCGACGGCTCTAGTGCAAATCATTACTGTGCTGCTTTGCTATTCTCTCTTGCCGGTGTCTAATCCAGTAATTGGGCTCAAATACTATGGACAAGCCGAAGCCAAAATTACTTCAAACAGCTAATCCTTCATAAATTAGCTGATTCCCTTTCATTTAGGCCCGTTTGGCAAAAAAGATTATCTAATTCTCCTAAAAACAAGTTGCGGAGTGAAAAATTTAAGGACTATATTTAAAAGAGGCTAAACAATGAAAAAAATGGTCAGAATTATTTTTTAGAAAGTATTTTTTCATGATCAATAAAACATCAATACCGTTTAGAGCAACTCCAAAAGGAAAAGGTAAATTGAGAAGATATTTTGCTCATTTGCTTTCTCAAAAGGATAGATATACCCATTTAAAATGTTCTTTATTCCAATTGAAAAAGGTACATGAAAAAGATAAATGTATATTTCCAAAAATAAAGCTATTTTAGGGAAATAGAAAAAATTAGTATACTTCTCCAAAGTTAAGGAAAGTATAATACCTTCTCATTTAGATTCTCCATTGGAGGATAAACTTATGTGAACAAAAGATAAATTTGATAATTATTATTTTTTACCCTTTGATTTACATCCTCCATTGGAGTTGCTCTTATATGGCCATAAAAGAGAAATACTCCATAAAAAGGTAAATAAAAGAGCAATTAGAGCGAGAGAGTAATAATACAAATATAATACTCGTTAATCACTACCTACGTTTTAAAAAGATGGTATGTGCTTGAGTTTTTTGGTGAAACTGTAATACGCTTTAATCTTGAATTATAGAAAAAAATATACTGTATTTAATTATAAGAAGCCGTGACTTTTTTGGGAAAATATTTTCATTCTCAATGCGTGCAATCAATGCTCACAAGCATGCCGACAAAGCCGTGTTTAGCGGCATGTCTTACATGTAACTGCTCAATGTCGCTCGCTGTAGGCTTACGTAAATATCTTTTATAATAAATTCGAATAATAGTTTAGAAAATTTATAAACACAAGACATGATGCTCTGAGCCGACATTTTCAAGTATTCGTCGAACATATCAGATGCTGTCTCGTACGCCATCAGACGAAGCGCGACAGTGCGACACTGCTAAACCCGCGTCGCACTCTCGCATCAAAGCGTTGGGTGAACCAAGGCACCTCGCGTTCAATATCGGCGAGTATGCGTAAAAGAGAGAGGACGACTCATCCGAAAATGATTACTAAAATCCTCCGGTGTAAGCACAAAGCATTGAAGTAGTCGTTAAGAAGTGAAGCGTGCGCAGCAACTCGATCCTAGTTTAAACGTTGTCGTCGGGTCCGGCGTCGGAGGATTCTGTTTCTTCTTGTTTGCCTTGTTGGCACCATTGATAACAAGTCGTGGCGAAACAGCAAAAAATGAGAGCTCTCTTTTCAATATCAGATGAAGATGATGCCATTTTTAAAATATTTTGTAGAAATAAATATAATAAATAGAAAAATATTTGAAAGAATATTTGATAGAATTATAGAGAGAAGATAGAAAGAGATGTGTGAGAAATATGCTTTTTAATTAAATTTATAGGTTTTTTTTATTGAATTTATAATATTTTTTTTAATGTTGTAACGAGGCTACGCCAACCGGAAGAAGAGAAGCATCAGAACTTTGACGCACGGGAACTGAGTACTGACGCCCCTTAACGCCGCCATGGAGACAATATTTAACACCGGTTGAGCGTCAAAAGCAAGTTGACACCGGGGACATCAACCTCATTTCCACTACCCTTACTCATAAGTAAAATCCTGATAAATGTTTGACTAAAATACTCTTAATGAAACATTTAGCTGTGGTGTTTTTTAAATAAAACGATTGAAGCACAAAAATCAGATGAAAGACCACATTTTGAGAATCTTGCAAATTAAAGAGTACTCCGTATTTATCAACATCCTGCCTTCGCCGGAACGGGGTAATCCACCACCAGGACGTCGTCGACAAATCCCCTGACGCCATCTTTCTGATCACTCAGCGCCGCCGACTGCGCATCCAACGCCTGCACGGCGTCCAATCCTCCAAATACTCCGATGGAGGCGATCGAAAATCCCTTCGTCCTCGCCTCAGCAATATTTTCGCCCACCGTTAACTGTTCGATCTGCGCGAAATTTCGCTTGAGCCCTTTAGTCACATCCACAATTTGATTCTTCTCGTTTTCAGTCAGATTCTCCTTCAATTTCAAAAGCTTGGCTCTGATTATGGAACCGGGGGGACCTCGGTAGAGCCGGAGAAGTCATCGGAGATCCAATCGGCCACCACGATGTCGTCGATGATGGGAAATAGGTAATTCCTGACCACGGACAAGTGAAGATGGTGCGCGTTGTACTCTTCGAGGTCCGACGCGGAGTCGTAGCGGGAATGGAAGAGATGAGTGAACGCCGGCGCCGGCGACTGCGTGCGGAGGATCGGACCGGTGGTGAGATGGCGGACCTGCGGGAGGGAAGCGAGGCCGTAGAGGTTTCTGAGCATGTCGTTAATCTTGGAATGCTCGACGCCCGGCTTTGTTCTGACGAGCACCACGTGTTCGACGATTTGCTTCGCTGATACATTGACAGAAGAAGCCGGGGAGACACGGCGGCGCGTTGTGGCGGTTGCGGCGCCGGTGCTGAGGAGTGGAGAACAAAGTGGTTTGACGGAAATCATTTTCTCTGTCAATGGGAATATGATGGAGGCTTTCTATCTGATGCCGGATATATATATATCCGGCGCGGCCATATGAATCGGTAATCTTCTTTGGATCTTCTTCCTCTACCAGTTTTGGAATTGTCACTTTGACCGTTTTCAGCAATGGCGCATTGGTGGGAATCAAAACCATTCATATACTCGTTTCTCATTTTCCATTAATTTTCTCTCACTTATTTATTTATCTTATTTTCAGGTTCGTTCTATAAGACTTATTTTTCTATTTATTACTTATTTTTAATAAAATAAAGTTAAATTTGATCGAATTAGATTCAATTAGATCAGATAATTTCATGAAAAAAGTAATAAAAATAATATTAATACTTTTGTAAAATAACATCCTTATTTTGTACTCACTCCGTCCCATAAAGTGTTACCCATTTTGACTAAAGTTGAAATTAAGGGAGGATAATTTTGTGTTAACTTTCCAAAAATACCCTTGATGTGATGGGTAAAAATAGGATGTGATGTGTAGATTATTAGGAAAAGGTATGATGTGATAGATAGGGTTTGAAAAAGTAAGAGGTAAAAATGGTTTTTTAATAGAAATGGGTAAGGGATTGTGGGACGCAATTTTTTTGAAACGTGTAAATCTTTTTAGGACGGAGGGAGTAATATTTAGTTATTTTAATATCGAGTAATAATACATTCTCTTCACTGTTTTGTCGAGCACTCGAGCATGTAGGACGACAGCTGAGGCCAATCGGTATGGACTTGTACAAGGGCTAAAAAGGTGTCGCCTCATGCACGGGCCGCCGATGGATGTACTGAGTGCTATCACTTTGCTGCAATCTCGCATTTCAGTTAGGGCTGTGTGCCTGTGTCCGAAAAATCGAAAATAAAAAACCGAACTGAAATCAATCGAACAATACCAAAAAAAACCGTACCGCAAAAACCGGAACCGAACTCAAAAAATCGAACCGAACCGATTGCATTCGGTTTCGGTTGCGGTTTTGGCTATTTAAAACCGAACCGAACCGCTAAAAACTGAAACATGTATAGTTTAATTACTTTTAGGAATTTAGGCTTTTGCAATTTACGCATTTAGCGTTTTAGGTTTACGCGAATACCCGTACTCCTCCATCGCAGATTCGCAGAGACACCTATCTTCTTCGCTGGGCTCTTCAGTCTTCAAGATCTCTAATCTTCTTCGCCGCGCTCTAGGATCCAACTCGCCAGTTCGCTGTGCTCCAACATTCGACTTGCCACTTCGCCAGTTCGCCACAATTGGAAGTAAATCAGACTGAAATCACCGACTCGCAGTCCAACTCTCCAGTCTCCAGTGTCCAGTTCGCCACAATCCTTGGCGGACAATAATCCTGAATCAGACTCGTCAATCGCCAATTCGCCAGTTTCTTTTTCAATCGCAGGAGGTATGAAGCATATGTTGTTTAATGTTTTTTATCAAGTCATTCTAGTAAATGTTTGGGTATGAAGCATATGTTCTTTAATTTTTTTTCTAGCAAATGCTTGGGTATGAACCATTATCATGTTTTTGTTATGCATTGTGAATCTCTATGCAGTTTTGGGTTGATACTTTCAGTTTTTGGACAAATAATTGCAGTTTTTTGAATGACACATTTTTGATTGGTCAATGCAATTTGGGACTGGAAATTACAGCTTTTCTCCTAGTTTTTTACTGCATTTTTACAGTTTTCGACTGTAAATTACTACTACTTGCCGTTTTTGGGTTGATACATGCAGTTTTTTGACACATAATTGTAATTTTTTGAATGACAGATTTTTTGATTGGTCACCCACAAGATTGGATGTCAATTGCCTAATCCACAACATCATTGACATTCACATTTTGCTTGATACCATCGGAAGTCCAGAACCAACCACCAGATGTTATAAAATTATATGATTATATCCCTCATCAGAAATGCATGGACTGGTAATAGTCATTAGTATTAGTAGTACCACCAACATATTATTTCACTTTTAAATTAATTTTTTTTAAAAACGGAAAGAATTGAAAAAACTGAAACTCAAACCGCTAAAAACCGAACCATATAATGATTGATTTTCTTTTTTTAATACAAAATCGAATCGAACCGAACCACCAATATGCCCTTCGTTATGTCTTTGGTTTTAGGTAAAAATCGAACCGTTAAAACCGAACCCACCCCTAATTTTAGTGATCTCTATTTCACCTTCAAGTTGTTGATTAGGCTGGATACCCTCTTATTCAAATATCCATCATGCATCAACCTCTCGACTATGACAAGAAGAAAGTATGACCCATGTGAAATTATATTTTTAAATCTCAATTTGAAATCAACATGACAAAAGATAATAAGAATGACCATCCATAAAAGGGTATTGACTACTGATAAATAGACCTGGCAAAACTGACCCAGACCCGATAACCCGAACTGAATAACCCGGAACCGAACCCGAATTGACCCGAAAACTAAAGAACCGAAATAGAACCGAACACCCGAAATGATCCGATCCGAACCCGAACCGAATGTATTCAGACCCGATTCAGACCCGAACTCGATTAAACCCGAACCCCGTTAAACCCGGAACTGATTAGACCCGAAACCGATTAGACCCGAAATTGATCAAATTCATTAATATTTCATTTATCAAATGAATTTGGAGAAAACGAATTACCTGTATATTTTTACATATATTGATGTGTTTCTAAAAAAACATACTCCGTATTTAAATTATGGGTACAAACCATGTAACTACTTTCATGTACAAATCTTTTACTTAGCATTCTATAACTTAAGTTAAAATATTTTTATATTTTTATAGAAAGTATATAAAAGTTATAGTTAACTAAATTAACTAAATTTATTATGTGATATTATTCATTTATTAGTATGTGTTTACATTATACTTGAACTAATATAAATTTAAACCGATATAAACTCAAATCTATATAAACCCAAATCAATACAACCCGAATTGATACAAACCTGAACCAATATAACCCGAACCGATATAAACCCGAACCGATACAAACCCGAACCGATATAAACCCGAACCGATCCGAACCGAAACCGAAATAAACCCGGAACCGAACTGACTCGAACCAAACCGACCCGAACCGATTATAATATATATCCGAAAGAGACCCGAACCTAAAAGACCCGAACCGGAACCGAACCGATTGACCCGATTGCCAGGTCTACTGATAAACAAAGAACACGAATATAATATTTGATAATAAAAGACTAAATATGAAAATTTGTTATTTTAAAATTTCATTAATATTGAAAAACACTTTTCAATCGTATACTTCCTTCGTTCTATAAAAGTGTTCCTATTTTGATTTTGTGTAAAAATAAGGAAGTGTTAAATTGTAGTTGACTTCCAATTTTGCCTTTGATGTGATGGGTAAAAGTAAGATGTGATGGATTGAGTATTAGAGAAAAAGTATGATGTGATAGGTAGGGTATGAAAAAGTTAGGATAAAAGTGGTTTTTTAATAGAAAGTGGAAGTGTTTTGTTGGAAGTAAAAAAATGAAAGAGGAAGAGTTTTTGAGAACGGAGGGAGTAAAAAATAAAAGTTTGTGTGCATCTTAGTTCTTCGACCTATAAAGTAATTAAATAGAACAATATTTTGAAATCTTACAAGATAAATCTAATAAAAAAATTTATATCAATTTTATATAATTTATTGTAAAAATTTATCAAATTTGATAAAAAAATTATATTAGACAAATACTCCGTACTTGACTACTTGGTAACACACATAATACTATTACGTATAAATTATAGGCAATGAGGTAGTAGGCAAATACCGGCCTTTTAATGTGTAAACTTTGTTTGGGCTTTGGAGGATTCAAGAAATAAATACCCTTCCATCCATAAAAAAGACCAATTTCTCAACATACTTTTTCTACCAAAAAACTCAAACTAACGAATATAGAGAGTACTATATTTGTCTCATTTTTTTTAATTTGAATTTTATTTAACTTTTACAACAAATAAAAACGCTCTCTTCCCAAAATTACATGTCATAGTTTAAGTTTTATGTTAATTTTAACCATAAATTTAATATAACTTAAAATAAATAAATTATAAAAGTTTGATATATCAAAAATATACGGAATGTATCTTAAAATAAATATAATTACATTTATGATCAAAGTTAACATAAAGGTCAAACCAGGACAAAAAAATTTGTTTAATATCTCATACTCCTAGTATCACAAATTCTTGAAATGAAGGGTTTGATATGTTAGAGTATGTGTTAGAATATAAGAAACATTCTCTGGGCCACAACCATAAGCTTGAGCTTTTGGTTGAATTGTTTCCTTCACATTGCATCGGAGCCTTCTTGACTAAGGGGTCATGGGTTCTAAACTCATCGCTACCGAGTTTTAAAAAAATTAAGGTTTCACGTGCTCGAAAAAAGACTACGCCAGCACCACTAATCACAAGCTTGGGCTCTTAGTTGATTTGAGTTGGTTCCTTGACAGCTATATGAGAGATATCAAAATTAGGATTTCATATTTTTATCAACCGCCAACTATCACCACCCCCAACTACTTACCACCGTTGGTGTCAATGCCCGCAACCACTCTCGTTGCTAGCTATCTACCTTCGTTTGTTACTAATTATATTATGATTTCAAATATATTTAAATGAATTTATTTCAAATTTCACAACTAATACTTTTTTTCTTGATTTTAGAACTCATATCATAACTTGAAAACCCACTAAACAAATCATAGTAAAGTAAAAAATATGTACTCTATAAATTATTCTCTTTTTTGTAAAGAAATTAAAGTCCAACAATTTGCTTTTAAATTTTCAAAGAAGTTTTTGAATTTTATGAAATCAAATAATGTCAATTAATTCGAAAAGTAGGAGAACATGTATAAATTGAAATATATTTTTTCAACTAGGGAGGGAGGGAGGATAATATAAATAATTAAAATACTACGTAAATGTGAACAAGGGAACGTGCTTTATGAATAGAGGCCTATGCCATTATAGTACAAAGAATAATCACATGCATAAACATGGTTTGGATAAGTCGTTGAGCGAATAGACATGTTGATGTGGAAACACTTGAAACAACCAAAGCAAGGATATATTGGTTACACATCCAATAATTATAACAATAATTACATATTTAATAATAATAATAATGCTAACAGTAAATAAATATATTAATGAATACGAGTGTACTTATTCATAACGTAACTTATCCATACATTATTGTGTAAGTACGCGGCACTATTTTAGAACAATTACTTCAGTCAATTAATTTCTTTCTCATTTTTTTTAGGTCATCCAAAAAATTTCTTTCTTTTTTTCTATTTTGAGAACAAAATTTGGATGAGTATGCCATTATGCTTCACATTTTATCTACATTATTCAGTTTATTCCAGCAAATCAAGGACAAACATGAAAAGTATTTACAATTTTTGACTTTTAATTTCTTAATTTTCCCGCTAAATCAAACTGAAAATTTTTTTTAGATGGAAGGAGTAATAAAAAAAGTAAAAGACAAAATAATAAAAAGTTTTGCTTAACAATAATATTGTAATTTCACTTGATTGTCACATAGTGAACAATGAAACAGGTGAACATGTCTCCTTTTGTGAACCATGCAATTCATGGCCGGTGTCCAATAATTGCAAAATGGTAAACCTCCATCACCCACTAGTACGAAAACGGAAAAACAGTACGTATATGAGTAGCTGAAATAATCACTAATTTGTTATTCCCTCTTTTTTTTAAAAAAATCTTTCTGCTTTTATTTTTCATTTGTGCCAAAAAAATACTTTCATACAATAATCTCTCTCTTTTACCTTGATTTACTAATTATTAACTTCTTATCACATTATATTCTTTTTATTATTAATCTACATATCACATTCTATTATCATATCTAATAATAAAGTAAATGCAAAATTTAAAAAAACAGTAAATGTATTTTAATTCTACTTTTTTCAAAGTGAAAATGATTTAAGAGACGGGTAATAAATAATGCTTACTGAGAGTTGAGAATAATAATGGGTGGAGTATTATATTCGTAGCCAAACATCACGAGGGAAGAAATGAGTGATTATAGAATCAAGCAAACTACTTTAATTTTTCTACTCCGTAGTAAATAGAACTAGCCCAATCCAAAAGAGACTAGTACTATAAATATTGAAGTTAAAGTAATGAGCAATGCTAGATTTACAAATAAAAATAAAATAGTCATAAAATTCACAAATTTATTATATTTATAGTTTAAGTTCTATTTTTAAAATTATTTTAGATTATTTTATATATTCTTATTGAAGCTCAAAAATAGTAAGTTTGTGAGATTTATGACTATATTGTTTATGAACCAAACATTTCATTAACACAATGTTTGGTTCAAAGAATTTGAGAGGGAAGGAAAAGAAAATGAGAAGTAAAATATTTTTCTTGTTTGGTTAGAGAGGAAAAGAAAAAAAAAATTGGAAAGAAAAAAATTGAGAAGGCAAAATGTATTAAGAAGAATGAAAACCAAAATCCTCATATTTTAAGAAGGAAAATGAGGGAAAACTATTTTCTTTCCTTTTCTTTCAAATTCCTTGAACCAAACATAGTATAAAAAAATTTGCTCTAACTCATATTTAGTCGTCGAGTGAGATTTCTAATCAATTTGATTAAATGGGGTCACTAATGTTCATTGGTAGTGTTAAGTATAGGAGGGTGATAAATCTGTTTTGTATGCATTTATCTATTCTATATTTAATGTGTTATTTTTCAATTTTGGATCAAACAAGGCAAGTTCTCTATGCTTTCTATTAGTTTTTGTGTATAACGGTAAAAATGCACAAAAGTCATGTCTTATACGTTGTAAAAAGAATAAAAATTGAGTCAAAAATCGAATACATAAAAGTGTGAAAATTTGTGCAATTGAAAGGCTAGAGAGTAAGAAGGCAAAAGATTGTGAAAATCTATGGAGTGAAAAATGTACATTCAAATGTGTCGGTGCATCCCGTCAAAAGATTTGAGATCACAAGTCAAGAAGAGGCTGAATCAGGCTTTACAGCAACAAGATTGAAACAAAATGACAAAAAAGCGAAAATTGGGTTAAATCCGGTCCAGGCCCCGGACACGCACGCGCCCGGACCCAGGCGCATGCCTATGCGTGTTGACGTTTACGATCCGGGGCAAAATCACATTTTTGGCGGATAACTAGATCAGTGAGAGCTGGGGCCGGAGAGGCATGCACCCCAACCCCAGGCGCAGGCGCACACCTGGACCTCCAAATGGCTATAAATACAGCGCGTCCGAGCTCATTCCAAATCAGCCTTCTTCCGTGAATTTTAAGGCCCAGACTCAATTTCTAGTCCCCGTTCTCAGTTATTAATATTTTATTTTAGTTTTGTTCTGGTTGTCATATTTGGACTAAAGGACTATTTATGGAATAATTTTCTAAAATTGAGAACCATTGATATAATTTCTTATAATTGGAAATTAAATATTGAAAATCACCGGCAATTAAAGACTATTTATGGAAGTTACTCTAAAATTAACTTTCCATTTGACTTTTTACGGTCTTCAATGCAACATTTTGACTATTTATATCTCTATTTATATATAAACATGTATTATGAAAACAAAACATTTTAAAACTATATTTTCAAATGTGCCTTTTGATATTAAATTTATATGAAAATTCAATATATTTTTTCGTAATATGCAATCAAAATTTTAAAAAATTGACTACAAAAGTCAAACTAAAAATTTAATTTTAAGACAGAAGTACTTAGTAGTTGGGGATCAAAACCCTAACTCAACAATGATCTAAATTTGACATTAGGAATGACACCCGTTTCTGTATACATTCATACAATCACTCTACCATTTATGCAACAAATTTACACCCGCATGGGTAGCTCAATTGGTTCTAGAAGAAGATATTAAACTCGATGATCATATGATTGAATCTCAGCAATGACAGTGTGAGAATTCTATTATTCATAATAGCTTTATTTGCGCACCGGGCATATGGCTACTTCTCTAAGAATTAAATTGAGATTCTAACCTGATTTATTCAGAAACCATTGTTATGTGTGTTATGAAATTTAGATGGCATGATTGATAAGGATAGAAGTAGATAAGTGGGTGGTGTCACTCAACCACAACCTTAATTTGGAGGTCATAGTAATCTTGGTTGACAATGTCCAATTAATTAATTAATGATTGAAAACAGATTTTTTTCACATACTCCGTGTATATATATATACATATACACATAAAGAACCCCAAGATCGAGCAGAGGTCGGGTCGACGCGTGGGCATCAAATCTACACAATCTTTCTCTCTCTCTTTTTCTCTCTCTCACACACACAAACACAGAAATCAGTAGATTCGATTCGATCGGGCGATCATTTCTGCTCATTCAATTCAATCTCTGTCCCTCTCATTCTCAAATAATGCTCCCTGATTTTAGAGGTACCCCTTCCTCTCCACTTTCCCTTCTTCTCTTCCCCTCTCTCTCTTTCTTAATACTTTTACTGTATTTATTTATCAAGTAGAAATAGAGATCAAAGAAGATGATATACTAATGCTTCAATTCTATGCCAAAGAAATTATGTACCTATATGGCCTCTTTAGAAATAGTTTTAGATGTTGGCGTTTTAAAAAATCTATCAAAAAGCATCTTTGAGTATTTTCAAAGTTAATCTGCACTGTTAATGTTTAATACAAAATGCTAGCTAATCGAAAACGCTATTCACCCATTAACATTTTACAGTTTTACTTTAGCGTTTTGAAAAATAATTGTAAGGCAAAGTTTAAAAGGTCCCCAAACGGGCTTTATGATTTCTGGGTTTTCTGCAGAGGGCTTTTTTCGTGACGAATCTTCCTCCAAGTTTGCATCTTTCTTTGACTTTCAATCTCTTCATTTTATCTTTTCTGATTCTTCAATTCTTTTTTTTTGGGGGGGAGAATAATTAGAGGGTTTTTTGTTCAATTTCTGGGTCTATTCCAGCTCTCACGAATCTATGATTTTGTTTATCACTTTTTCGATTTTCTTTTCTCCATGAAAATTACATATCATCATCAACTGCAATTTTTTCATATTGATTTGTCTTCTCTCTTTTTTTTTAAACAAAGAAAGAAAGAAATAAAGGACAGTGAAAGGGAACATTTTTCTTGTTTTCTGGCAGTAAATAGTAATAAATGTTGGCTTTTTGTGAGGTGGTTTCCCCATTTTATGCGGGTCTGTTTCAAAAATATCTCAACTCTAAGTAATTTCTTTAAATAAATAAAAATATATATAAAATTAATGCGAGTAAATAAATGCAGATTTTTTTTCTTAATAAATTTTATTCCAAAATAAAAACGAGAAAAGAAAATATTGTGAAGTGGTTGGGAATAATGGTGTTTGTTGAATGGATACAAATATGAGAGGTATGGCCAAAGAAATCTGTAGTGGAAAAGTGACTGCAGATTTCTGGGTCTTTTGAGGCTCTCTCTCTATCTTGCCTCTGTTCTGCTAATTTGTACAACCATAAAGGTTCCTTTTTATAGAAAATGGGATCTCCTTTTTAAACTTTATTTATACTCCTCTCTTTGTCCTTTAATATTAACAATAATTCAATTTATTTAATTAAATACTAATACGAGTTTAAGATACTCCTTAATGGCCATGTTAGCGTTAGCGTTTTGAAAAAGATTATCCGACGATAGCTTTTAGCATTTTTAAAATTAATCTACATCATTAAAATTTTATCCAAAACACTAATATCATCGAAAACGTTATTCCTAAACAAGGCCAATATCTACTCTGTATATATTTTAAAACTATTCTACAAAAATGTAAAGTGAGGGGTTAGACGATTGTTTTATTTGACAAATGATTAAAGAATTGCTTTTATTATGAAATGTATTTCGGGATGGAGGATTCTGTCTATGTTTAAATAAATTATGTGATTAAAATTTATGCAGATAAAATAAAGAGTATTATGAACCACACAATTTTCTATTAAAAAAGATTTGATAATGCAAATAAATACTTTATTTTGAGAATACTAGAGTAGTACAGAGAGTATAAATTAGTCTTTCCATTTCATATTAGTAGTCCATTTTGATCAACACTATACAAATTCATGCCTCAAAATGCTTATATTGAAATAATGCTTATACTTTGAATATAATGCTTATATTGAAATAATGCTCATACTTTGAATATTATTTCTAAGTAATTACAAATTTAATTCCCTACCTGCTTATAGTCCTACATGAAAGACTATGTTCTAGTCTTATTATTTGGAGCAACAAGATTATGACTTTGAGAAATTAAACATCATATTGGTCTTGGCCTTTAATGTAGTCTACTCTTTTAGCATTATTTTAAAACCAATTCATCCTCCCTCCCTCCCTTCCAAAACTACCCCTAGCTATATCTTCATTTGTTCATTTCCCCCCCTTCCCAAAAGTACAGGACTGGCTTTAAGCTGCCAAGAAATGGAGGGGAGTGGAGCACAGATGGATGGGAGGGTACTTCAGACATTCCAGAAGAGCTTTGTGCAAGTTCAGAACATTTTGGACCACAACAGGCTGCTGATCAGTGAGATCAACCAGAACCACGAGTCCAAAACACCCGACAACCTGACCCGAAACGTCGGTCTGATCAAAGAGCTCAACAGCAACATAAGAAAGGTCGTCGACCTCTACGCCGATCTCTCGTCTTCTTTCTCTAAGTCCATTGTTGATGCCTCTTCTGAAGGCCACTCCACTTGCCACAAGAGGAACAGGCCTTGCTAGCTACAACTAATTTTATATATAATCACTATATTCTTCTTCAAGAAATATATATATATATATATATATATATATATATATATATATATATATATAAATCCTTTGATTTGTCACCTCTGATGAGAAATAATTCTTCAAGGAAAAATAATAAGCTGTTGGGTGCTAATGTGTATGCAGATGTATTTAGCTTGGAGGAGGAATGTTTGTAACTTTGTATCTTCTAGTCTCTCTTGTTCTTATTGTGCTTGACAATTTGTTGCCTTTAAATGAGCATTTTTTAAGGCTATTTATTTATATGGGAGAGTGTGTAGTTTTTCTTATCATGGATTAATTGATGATCTCTGTTTGTTACATTATTTGTATGCATTCCATCCTTGATCTCAATGTCTTCACACACAATTGTTCTTAATTGTGAAAAAATACAAATTGAGAGTAAAACATTGAAAAAGTATCAAATTAATTAAAAAATTTATACTCCGGGGTACTTTTTATCCTCAAAATATTAGTTACAACGACGGTGCCACTAGCTTAATGGAACAATTGAAGGGCTTTGTAATCCATGTTTGCAAAATTAATGGTTTTAAGTTTCCCCTAGCTTCTTCTAACTACCTTAAATTCTATTCCACTCCCACCCTAGCCCTCACCAAATGTGAATTGCCCAATGATCACACATTTGGAGTAGGATGGGTGGATGAAGTGATTAGATTTAAGGAGGTTAGGGGTATGAATTAGTGGCACTGTTGCCCGGTAGCAAAAGTAGCATGCCTGTTTAGAGGGTGGTTTTATTGCGATCGAGCAATATTGCCACACACTAGTATTGTCATTGCCTTCTCCGTTCGCAAATTTGAAGACTCTTACCTTTCTTAAACTTTATCCCCTCTTCAAATGTGTAGTCATTAGACAATTATCTAATGATTACATATTCAAAGAGATGTTGGGATAGGAGAATTAGGAGTGATTAAAGAGGATATGAATCATCAATTTTAAAAATATAGTTAGTGGCATCGACAGAAACGCCATCTAAATTGCCCAATGGTCATTAAACTCTATCACACTCTAAATTTTTGTAACGTGTTGGGCATTGAGATTAAAAGGGGTCTTATAAGTCAAAGACCTTGTGGTCCGATGTCATAAGGTGACTCTTTCAAGTTTCAAATGAAAGATCACATGTTCGGTTTTTAATGAAGACGATAGTTCTTTGTACTTTAATAGATCGAAAAAGTATGTGTGAATAGATATTACAATTATAATAAAGTACTCCTTTTGTCTCCCAAAATTTTTCTTTCTTCTTTTTTTATCCGTCCCAAAATTTTTCTCTTTTTTATTAAAAAGTTACTTTTACTCTTACTAATTCTTAACCTACCTATCACATCACACTTATTCACTAATAATCTACCCATCACATCTACTTTAACTTATCACATCTAAGGGCATTTTCGAAAGTCAACACCAAAATACTACACACTCTTCTAAATCCTTTAAAATTCAAAATTTTTGTGGGTGGGAGAGAGTAATTATTACTAGAAAAGGCATTCCATACGTTAAAAAATGTCACAAATTAAAGAAAATATTAAAATATGCCACTTGTGTGTTGTAGATAATAACACACCAGTAAAAAAAATCTCAACGTAGTTTAACAGGGCCGATCCTGGAAAATGGAAAAATAAAATTGACCTAGTCTAAAATTTACATTTGGGGCCCTTTTTTATTTTTTAGAATGCTTTTACTGTAAAATTATCAATATAATTTAAAAATATGGGCCCTAAAATTTTAGGGGCGCCCTATGCGGTTGACCATTTTGCACACCCTCCGGACCACCCATGTAGTTTAGTAATCAATCATACTTCCTCCGTCCCAAATTATTTGTCACATTTCTATTACCGAGACAAAATATCAAGTTTTTTCAATTCATTTTATTTACATATTGGTAAAGAAATAAAAAATAAAAATTACATATCAAAAAACTACATGAAAAGTTCTTCGAAATAAGAGGTGTCAAGAATATTTTATTTTATCAAATAACCAATGAAAACTGAGAAATAAACAAAAATTCCCGCGACTCTTGAAAAAACAAATGTGGCAAATAATTTGGGACGGATGGATATCAATTGAATCACTCGATTGTGTAGCAATGGAATTCGAAATTATCCTTAAAACACAACAGCATTATTTTTGTTGCTCCCTCTTCCCTCATTTAATCATTTTTTTTCTCAATTCAAACATTTAAATTATTATGTAAAACTAAAAACTACTCTCTTAAATTTTTATATTAAAAATATTATAAAAATAATACAAAAAGAATGTGATGACTATTTTCACAAAAAAAAACTTTATACTCCCTCCTTTCCAAATTAATTGCCACATTTGTATTCCCGAGGCAAAATATCAAGTTTTTTCAATTCATTTTATTTACATATTGGTATAGAAATAAAAAATAAAATTTACATATAAAAAAACTGCATGAAAAGTTATTCAAAATAAGAGGTGTCAAGAATATTTTATTTTATCAAATAACCAATGAAAACGTCGAAATAAACAAAAGTTCCCGCGACTGCTGAAAAAGCAAATGTGGTGAATATTTAGGGACGTAGGGAGTACTTTTTTATTGATAATTGTTTAAAAATAAACTTTACTCTTCTCCTCATGGGTTTCAGAACTCAGGGTCTAGAAGACTAGGTAGAGTATCGAACAAGGGTTGAGTGCTTTTTTGGTTGCAAGAGTGTAGAGTGAGCATATTAGTTTAGTACTGAACGTGATTCCTTCTCTCCAAGAGGGAGGAGTATTTATACAATACACTTGTCCTACGCGCATGTATCTAGCGTTTGTTTAGGGCAGAACTTAGTGGGCCGGGGCCCACTGGAATCAGATCTTAGACAAATAATACAAGAAGTGTAATTACAAATAGTATAGCTACAAATGATGTACAACGAACATTATCAGAGATGCTCTTGTGTGAGCCCGTAGAATAAACAGGGCGTACAGGATCTCATGCCCGTGATAAGGTTGTCTTGCTTCTATGCAGCAGGGCTGGAGTACATGATTCTGTCGCTGGAGGACACCCGAGAGTAAAGATTTGTCCGGGTCTGCCCCTGGGTCCGAGTGCATGCAGCCGAGCTGTGTATAGAGTATAGACCTGTGTCCGAGTGCGGTTATTGTCTTGAAGGTTTGGTTTCCTTTAAGTCCCGCTCAGCCGAGCAATGCGTTTTTGGCCGAGCGCATCGGATTCTTGCGATTGGATGAGCCTTGTGTTGGGCCGTTATTGTTTTGTTGGGCTGCCCCAATCCAGAATATCCATCGTCTCTTTTTTATCAATTAGGAATCAAATATATGTCCCACAATTTCTCTTTCTCCTACTGTAATAATTTTAGTAATAATGTAAATTAATTTTATAATGATTGAATAATAGTTTTTAAAAGGTTAAAATTAAAAGTGGAAATTAAATAATTTAAAGCCGTCCCTCAATGTTGGGACTTGGCCCTTGGGTGGTTAATTCCCAAATCCAAGCCATGACAAATAAAACTAAATATCGAATATAAAAAAACAAATGTTTAAAAAAACAAATGGTTTAAATCACAAGCATGTGAAGTGGGAATCTACTTTTCCTCTTCTTGTAGTTCCAGCAAAGCAACAAGTAGCCAAATAGGTACGTGGAGAAAGAATCACTAAACTAGCAAATTAAAATGTTTGATTAGATAAAATGAAGTCACTAAACTTTATTTTGATAAGTGAGCATTATATTTATGAATGAATTTTTAGTTACACTCATCTTGACACCAAAATTTGAACTATCAAAATGTAAAAACTTTTTCTATGCTTACATACAACTGTAAACTAGCTTGAACTTGTGATTAAATAAATGACTTGAAATATCAAGTATTTTACAAATCGAACATGCACAGATAATAACTACGATATGGATGCGACCCAGATAATGACTGTCTAAGATGTAAAATCTAGAAATCTACATATATTTGTAAAATACAAAATTTATATGTACAAGGATGCAACACACATTTGAATGGACACTTGCATGTGTGTTTTTGTACACAAACAATTAAAATAAAAGGGTAAAAAGAGTGATAGAGTAGAGAGGGTGATGGGAAAGAATTGGACACAGATGCATGAATCTATTTTAGTGGAAGGATATGGCGCACGAAGCAACCACGCACGTACAAACGCCCAATGGATCTTAAATTAATTGCTTTAATATTTCTTAAAGGCCTAAAGCTAAAGGGTTGACCTCCACATGCATTATTATTACTTTATTACCAAGTACTACTATATATTAATGGCCGGTGGTGAGGTGATATGAGGTCTATGTACTCGTTTATTGAATTGAATTATTTTTATGGCATGTGTTGCGTAATTGGTAAAAGTATAAAGTATCGAGGGATAGACGTACGAAAAATCGTGCTACATGATGGGTTGTTTTCAGGTTTCGATCGATCTTTCTTTTTCTTGGGTAGCCAGTTCAGCAATTAAATCTTGATAAAGAAACACTACCACGAAATCTACCACTAAAAATACCTCTAAGACTTGGTGCGAATTACTTATGGAAGGCAAAATAAAAATAAATAGAACTCTTCGTCAATTTGGTTTTACTATCAGATTTTTTTTCACTAGACACCACAACTCCACAAGTAACGACCACAAAGAAAGAGAATTGTGCCCATAGTGATAAAAGGTTACAATATAGAGTGAGGAGAGAACACTATAGTTGACCTAATAAGCTCGTGATCATACTAAATTTCTAAACCCTATTAAGTATAGAACATTAAATAATAAATACTAATTAACTAATAATGAATTAAATATTCTAATCATCATACATATCATTGATAGTTTTTTAAGAGCTCGTTCTTTTGAATTGAAAAAATATATTTAGATATCGAAAGAAACTGAAAAGAATTAAAAAAAGGAAGAAGTCTGAAAAACCTTGAAAGAGTTTGAAAAATGAGAAGGCATTTGAAGAAATCGAATGAAGTTCGAAAAAATTCAAAGAAGTTAAAAAAAATTGAGAAAAATTAGAAAAGATTAAAAGAGTGAATTTAATCGATACAATTTAATAAAAAGATTGATATATTCATTGCATTTGACGATTTCTAATAAATACATTTACCAGAAACAACACTTCAGCCTAAAGCCGCAAGTTTTTTTTTGGGCTAAAGCCCATATTTTTCAAAATGTCGCGGTGACAGGTGTCACAAGGGACGGTTTCGTACCCCGCCATTTCGTCTCACCCGAAACCCAGATCCAACAATCTCAACCCGTTTAGGTCCTCAATATCCCGGAATCCACATTTCTGAAGAGTTCATCTCCCGCGGAATCCCTCTGAATCCTCGATCCGCAGAGTCGTCTCGTTAGGGTTTCGATTTCCCGATGCCGCCGGTGAATTTAACGGCGAACGCCATCCCGGCTATCATCGCCGGTGACGTGAACTCCAAGCCGCTCGTCCAGGTTCTGGATATCAAGCTCATAGGCACCAAGCAGGAGCGGTACCGCCTCCTCCTCTCCGACTCTGTCTCCGCCCAGCAAGCGATGCTCGCTACTCAGCTCAACGATCGAGTCCAGACCGGCCGCGTCCGCACCGGTTCCGTCGTACAGTTGATCGAGTATATTTGCAGCAATGTTCAGAATCGCAAGTACGACTCTCATTTCTGTCAATTTGCACCTTCTGTATTATTACGGGGCATTTAGTATCCTGAACTTTCTAGGTCTTAACCATATGAATTCGCTCGCCGATTTCCATTATGAAAGTGCTGAAGAAAAAGGAAATTTAGCAGTCCAATGGTGTTAGGATGCGTAATGTTTATGTGCCATTTCGATCAATAAAATCCTTGTAATGCATATGCTATGCCAAATATCTTGCACATCCTAAGCTTCTGAAATGTTTATGTATCTCTAGATAGATGGTTAAATCACTTAAATGAGTACTTGTTATAAATTGATGGGTGTTTTTGCTGCCATATGACTTTGCTAAGGATATGGGGAAAATTAGGGAGTCATAAAGTATCTCCCACCTAAAAGAGTCATAATAGCATTGGATTATGGTGATGAGACCCTGAAGTAAGGCTGGAATTAGGCTTTCAAAGGAAACTGAAGATTTTCACCCTTATCTTACTACACATCATGGATCTATCAATGGTTTTATTGTTTTGGCTATCCGCTATCCAGCTTATAGCTATGTGAAAAGCTTATTTCAGCAGTATTTTAATGGAGTGTTCAACAACTGATACACATAAAAGAGTTCTTCGCAATGTAATCTCTGCTTATGCTCAGGAAGCCAGGTAGCCAAACTGTACTGTTGAGAGTGATAGATACATTTAATCTTTTCTCTAGATTGTAATGTGGATAACTATATGGATTATACATTTAATATGCTTTCTAGTTGTGTAAGTTTTCATAGTTTGGCTACCTGGCTTCCTGAGCATAAGCAGAGATTACATTGCGAAGAACTCTTTTATGTGTATCAGTTGATCTAAGAATATATTAGAATGTCTTGCTTGTTCAATTTGTATTCTATATTTGATCTTGCTTGTTGAAACAAAGTAATGATCTCGCCTTCTTGTTACAGGATTATTGTCATCATCAACATGGAAACTATCATTCCAGAGTGTGAAACAATTGGGAATCCAAAAGCACTTGCTGAAACTGATTCAGTAGTGCAGGCACCAACCATCAACAGAACCACTTCTGAGCCTGTATTTTTCAATAGAAACACCAATATGGCTTCTCAAGGTTATGGGGAAACAAGATTGACAACAAATAGCAACAATCTGAGCTCCCAAAGTGTTGGCAATAATTTTCAAATGAACCGGCCAGTCATTCAGCCAGCATACCAACCACCTCCAAATTACAAATCTTATGGGGCTGGGGCAGTCATGAAGAACGAGGCACCAGCACGTATAATACCAATTTCTGCTCTGAATCCATATCAGGGTCGGTGGGCTATTAAGGCTAGAGTGACTGCAAAAGGCGATATCAGACGCTACAACAATGCTAAGGGAGATGGAAAAGTGTTCTCATTTGATCTCCTTGATTCTGATGGTGGAGAAATACGTGCAACCTGCTTCAATGCTGTTCTTGATCGTTTTTATGAGACCATTCAAGTTGGGAAAGTCTACATGATATCTAAAGGCAGCTTGAAACCTGCACAAAAGAACTTCAACCATCTCAAGAACGAGTGGGAGATTTTGTTGGAAGCATCATCGTCAGTGGATCCGTGTTTAGAGGAAGACCCTTCAATACCCAGACAGCAGTTCTCTTTCAGACCTATTAGTGAAATCGAGTTTGTCGAAAACAACTCCATCCTAGACGTGATTGGGGTCGTAACTAGTGTGAATCCTTCTGTTCCCATACTGCGCAAGAATGGAATGGAGACTCAGAGGAGGGTCTTGAGTCTGAAGGATCATTCCGAGCGGAGTGTGGATTTAACAATGTGGGGAGATTTCTGCAACAGGGAAGGGCAACAACTGCAGGAAATGTTAGACTCTGGTTTCTTCCCTGTTTTAGCAGTCAAAGCTGGAAAAGTCAACGATTTCAATGGAAAGTCATTAGGAACCATCTCTTCATCTCAACTCTTCATAAACCCGGATTCTCCGGAGGCTCTCAGTCTGAGACAGTGGTTCGACCAAGGAGGAAAAAATGTAGCCTCACATTGCATATCCAAAGAACTCATTCCCTCGGGCTCAAAGAACGAGATTCGCAAAATCATCTGCCAGATAAAGAACGAAGGGCTGGGAAGGTCAAATAAGCCAGACTGGGTCACCGTGAAGGCCACATTGACCTTCATCAAGACCGACACGTTCTGTTACACCGCATGCCCCTTGATGATTGGCGATAGGCAGTGCAACAAAAAAGTGACCAAGTCAGGGAACTCAAGATGGATGTGTGAGAGATGTAATCAAGAATCCGAGGAGTGTGACTACAGATACCTTCTTCAAGTTCAAATTCAGGACCATTCCGGGTTAACATGGGTGACCGCATTCCAGGAAGCCGGGGAAGAGATATTTGGTTGCTCGGCCAAGGAGCTTTACATGATGAAGTCCGAAGAGGAAGACGATTCCAGGTTCTCCGGAATCATCAAGAAATGCCTCTTCACACAATTTCTGTTTAAACTTAAAATCAAAGAGGAAAGCTATGGTGAGGAACAACGGGTGAAGATCACTGTTATCAAGGCAGATAAAACGGACCCTTCTCTGGAATGTAGGTACCTATTGGATTTACTGTAGGCTATTTCCTTCTTTGTTCGAACAACCTTAAAGGTAAATTAGAAATTCCTCAGGATACGCATTTGCTGATTGTAAGTTGTGTTAATTGTGATGAAACAAACACCATTATTAACGTAGTAAGCATTATCTGGAAAATAGAAATTTGAATATCATTCGCATGTTTCTGATGATTACATTGAGACCATATCATCACCATCACAACAGAGACCAGAGAAAAGGTAAAATGATTATTACTACTACATGAGAGTGTGCTGTTTTAGCCTCTCTTGACAGGATCGAATTTGGAGACACCGATGATAGCGCCGGCAATGACCGTGAGCACAACCCCTCCGGCCAGGATGCTTAGCAGGAAGTTCTTCAGGGACGGGGTGAGTGTCTCAGCCGCCTGAGCCACCTCCGGAACCGCCATGGATGCCGTCAACGCGGCTGCTGTCAGTCCGGTCACGGCCTTCTCATTCAGCGACGCCCTCGCTTCAAATCTCCTGGCTGGTTTGGACGCCGCCACTGCGATCCGCTTGGATTCCCTCGCCGGCAGCATGGGGTTCAAGAAGGAAGCGGCGGCAGTTGGTTGCCGCATCTGGGTTGCAACGGTAAGTGACATCGCCATTGGAACTGCACAGGTAGAGGCCATTGATTTGCCTGTAATCTCTCTCTCTCTCTCTCTATCTCTCTCAGATACCTTTGGTTGTGTTGAATGATAGGAGAGGGTGATTGGTAAAGGTTTAGACTTTAGATAGAGGAGAGAGAGAGAGGGTATTTGTGTCACTAGTGTGAGATAGGCAACGAGAGGTGGAAATGGAGAGAGAGGGTATTTGTGTCACTAGTGTGAGATAGGCAACGAGAGGTGGAAATGGAGAGAGAGGGGGTGTGCTATCTTCAGTCCTACGTGGCAACGTCTCAACTGGTTGCGGTGGATATGGTTTATCACTTCGCAACTTCGTTTAAATTTGGCGCGTTCATCACGCACTTCCACCCTAAAAAAAAGAACCCCTCAACTCTCTAAAGTCTAAATACGGAATACGGAGTACTCCGTAATTGTTTTCTTACTTTGACCATTTTAAAGTAAGACTGAGTAAAGAACGTTTAAATTTATTATTGAAAAGTAATACGGAGTAAACGAATACTTAGGGGGTGTTTGTTTTTTGGCCAAAAGAGCTTCTGGCATCTTTTGTCTGCGCCGCGCAGACGCGCGCAGATGCTGAGCTCTGCAGATTGTTTGTTTTTTGAAAGACGTTTCACTTAAAAAGGTTTCCTGGCATCTTATTAGAGAAGACATTAACCTATGTCTTCTAACATCTTCTCACATCTTCTCCATTTTTTTTCTTCTACGTCTCTTCACCACCACCACCGTCCACCACCATCACCACCGTCCACCATCACCGCCGACGTCGTCCACCACCACCGCCACCGTCCACCATCACCGTCACCGTCCATCACCACCGTCGTCCACCACTACCCACCGTCCACCACCGTCCACCATCACCATCACCGTCTATCACCATCGTCGTCCACCACCACCACCACCATCCACCGCCACCACCGTCCACCACCACCGCCGTCAACGTCCACCGCCACCCTTCACCACCACCCTCCACCACCACCACAATCGTCCATACACCACCACCGTACACTACCACCATTAATTTATATAACAGTCTACAGACATTAAAAAACAAACAGTCTTCTTCTTGCAGACCGCAGACCTTCAGTTCACCACTTCTCCTGCAGATGTCTACAGTAGTGGTTCGCAGACTGCAGACCTTTTCCTGCAGAAAAAACAAACACCCCCTTAGGCTTTAATGTGAGAAGATAACAATTTTTACTGCCTTCGTTCCATTTTAAATTGTTTGTTACTTACGAAGTTTGACTAAAATTATTTTTAAATTAATTTTAATAAAGATTGGGATAGAATTAAAGAATGAAAATTATATCATTAAAATTACATCAAAAGTTTTCATCCTACAAAACAAGAAAAGACATGACTAATATTGCTTCATCAAATGAGTAACAAAAATAAGTAAAAAAGTGATTAAAATTTGACTTCATGAATGGTAAACAAGTAATTTAAAATGTGACATAGGGAGTAGTCATATACTCCAAAGTATTTCTCTTTTTAAGGAAAGTGAACGATTATTTTTAAACGTTCAATAAAATAAAAGAACAAAGATTATTTAGGACAGAGGGGGTACGACTAGGTCGGAGTGTCAGAGTATAATATTCTCTTTATTTAGGAAAGTGAATGATTATTTTGGAACACTTCCACACTACCACCCCCCTTTTGCCGCCCCCCCCTCCCCCACCACCACCAACACCCTCAACCGTTGCAAGCCTCTTTGACACTATCACTGACGACTTGTTTGACTGTCGTCCTCGGGAGTCATTTGCAACTCACGCACCCCCGTTGAGCTCCCTTTCATAATCGATGACATTCGTGGACCTCCCCTTTAGGGTTCCCAAATCGTTGTCAATCTCCGTTTACCTCACCGGAACCATTGGTTTCGAGCATCAAGTGGTTGCCCGGTAAAGACTCGCAACGCGCTCGATGAGGCTAGAGGGAGTGACGCACTATGCTTGACGCAGAAACCCATAACGTTGGAGGCAGTGGCGTTAGAAACGATGGAGGTAGAGATGCAGGGTTCAAGAGAGAGAAGGGTTAAAGAAATATGGTTTGAAAATGGTTTGCAAATCCAATACATCATCTTGCTCTCTGTTTCCGAATGTGTAATTTCATCAATCCAAACCCATTAATTCTTATATTAAAAAAACACATAGATTGCACCCATTGAAAAGCATATACTCTCTATGTGTATATACCGCATTTTATGTAGGAAAAAAAAAACAAAGCCATAAGAACATAATTACAAATAATTGATAAAACATTTGAATGTAAACACTAATAATCTTAATAAAATGACCATGAATAATTTATGTTTTACATATTAACATGACATTTTAATGTCATTCCAATTTCATTAACAATGTCCTTTCATACTTACATGATTTGATGGCGTTATTTTATAAAAGAATGTTTTTTTCATTTTTTTTACAATACACATGAAGAGTATTGTTTGTTTGTCCGTGTTGGAGGTTAGGGAGTACCCCAAATGCAAGCAAGCACTACTTTCATGCTCCTTTTATTGATGCGTTTTGCACTATCATCACTTATGTTTATGCCACACTTACAAAAACAACCCAGTAAAATTCCACAAAGTAGGGTCTGGGAAAGATATACTTATACTTTACCCTTATTCGGATACTATTTCTAAAGGACTAGAGACAATACTAAAGAGTTCTAATGAAATTCGATGCATTAATGCAGGGATGATAGTGGCGTGACAATTTTTTTTTACCTATAATTATGTTTTCGGTGCATATGCTTACTGTTAAACACCTAAACATGCAAATATCCATATTCAAAGATTCAAGGAAGGATAAAAGAAACAAAGCAGTGGTTGTGTCACATTGAAGTAAATAAATTCACAGAAATGATTATGCTATGGACATTTACAAGAATGCTTTTTATAGCAATGCCACATTTGAGATTCTTTTCCTTTTCGTGTTTGGATCAACTCAGGGGGGGAATTTGGGGAGAGGGAAGTAGGGGGGATGAATCGAACTTGAGAGAAACGTTGGTGCTCCAACCACTTGGGCACACCCCCCACACCACCACATGTCACACTTGAGATTTGAACACATATTCAAAAGGGTCTCTCTCCTTTCATGGGGGTTTATTGGTAATTTTAGAGATTAGCAATATCTACATCCTCCTCAAATTGTCTAACCTTGCCTGTAGATCGCTGTCTATTCCGCCATCATCATTCCCGGATGCCTCAGCTTGGGGAACCTTAGTCTTTGCTGCTGGTGTTGCTACAGCAGATGAAGGTGCATTGAGGAGCTGTAAATAACCCCCAAAAAATGAAAAAGAAATACAATTACCATTTTAAGTTGATAAATAAGGTGGGTAGAGACTATGGCAAATTCGTATAAAACAGTGAAAAATAAAAATACCTCGGAATTCATATCAATTCCAATTTCATCGAGGACCTGGTTGACCAAGTCTTCAGTCTCTTCTTCTTCCTCATCCCCTTCCAAGGCATCATCTATGGCATCTCCCATCACTTCACTCGTCATTTCCATTGTCTCATTCTGCTTCTCAAACTCTTGCATTATCTTCTGCAGCGCAGGCAAGTTCATCTGTCTATTCATCCTCCCCATTGCCGTGGTCACTCCTTTCATTGCCTCCCCCATTGCTTGTGTTGATTTCAAAGTCTGATTATCACATAAACAAAAACATACTTTTCTTGTAACAAGAGAAGCATTTAAATTTCCAGCGTCCAGCAGAGAAAAAAAACACTACTTCATCTTCCAAACAAGTTTTAGTGAACTCTTAGACCACTATTACGTATGGCAGACTATTTCGGAGAAGTTAATCGGCATGAAATACCTTTCATTTTGTTGAACAGAAAAACAAAGACAGAGTAGAAGGCATCCGCATGTACAGAGTCTTTATATATGCATTGAGTTGCATAGCAGGCATTAAAGGGGAAAAGGGAGGATTTAAATAAACAAATATAAGACGGGTAGATTCCTGCAGAATATGGGAATTTCTAGCATTCATAATTGATTTTTTTTTCTTGCTCAAACTTGTTTTTATCTTAAATGCTAGTTAAAGGAGGGAGAAAGGTCTACACTATTTTGAAGTTTGTCATAAAAACCATCTTCAAGATGCATCTACCATATACCCTTTGATCGGAAAATCACGCTCTGTTTGGAGTAGAGTAAAAATGACTTCCACAAGTCATTTTCTCCATTTTATGGTGTTTGGTGAAAATGGAAAATGAAGGTCAATGGAAAATGGGCATGGGTCAAACAGAAAATCTGATCTAAAATACGGAAAATGACTTCCACCCTTGAAATCGAGGTCATTTCCCTGGTGTATCTCTCTAGATGAACAGTTCTTTCTTCTTCCCTTCTGAAAACCATCATCTTTCCCCTTCTTCCGCTGGTTCAAATCGTGCACCGTTCACCACCTCACACCCCACCGCTTCCCCTTCTTCCCTTCTCAAAACCTTCATCGCCTTTCACCACCACACACCCCATTCATTCCCGTTCCTCTTCTTCACCTCATCAATACTCATGGTTATGACTGAATCGATTTCAATCCCAAGGAGAAGTAGATTTTTTCTGAATATATCAAATGCTCTCCTCCGTTGTTCATATGTTAATTTTATTAATTTGAGTGATTGCCCAATTTGAGACCTGTGTTTTGTTTGTTCCTTGCCAAGGATGTTGTTCACTAGTTTCGAATATTCATTTTCCGGAAATTGAATCAAATAGAAATACACTTTTCAGACTTCTGGAAAACACCAGAAAAGAAAATGACTTCAAGAAAAAGTCATTTTCCTCAAGTCATTTTCTAGAAGTTATTTTCCTACTTTCCAAACGGACCCTCAATGAAAATTTTCATTCAGAAATGTAAAACTACTTCTTTGAGTAGTTTTTTGAATGAAAATAGGCCGGCCTTCTTGTTTACTAAGCTTTTTAAAATGCCACTCACATTACTTTCACATTTTTGTCGGGGTCCTCTGGAGACCATTCTCCCTACTCATTGGGGTAGAGTGAGGTTTGTATACATATTCCAACCAAGATCCTTTTTCCAAGAGAGATTTACTGGGTTTGTTTAGTTTTTGTCTCGAAACTCCATGAAACATAAAAAACAGTATTATAACAAAGAAACTTTCATGGGGGCTATCCTGAATTATCACAAAACATCCAACATAAAAGTGTGCATATGAAGAAAAAAATTAAATATGGAGATGGTATTAAGAAATTTCATGAACATAAAATGCAGATAACTACGCAGTTCAGCCTCCCTAGAAACTAGCAAATTGATGCATACATAAAAAGCACCCTGCAGTTTTCAATTACATCAGTATTTTTTGACAATAAAATACTCATCTGTCCCAAAATTAAATACAAACTTCCATTTTTCGTCCGACCCAGAAGAAACATTACACTTTCCTCATTTCCTTTTACGGAAAAGAATGGGTGGCTCAAATCATTTATCTTTCTTCTAAAGAAATTCTAACTATAACTTTTCATTTTAACACTTTCTTAAACTTTGTGAAGTCAAATCATAAAAGTTTATTTTGGGGCAGAGGGAGTATTATTTTGGGTAGGCATGTAAAATTTTAAAAACACATTAAGCTACAATATGCCAAAAATACATTGCTAGCATCCAAAATGTTAAAACTTACAAGTAAAAGGTAATTAATATTTACCTGTATCCTGAGGGAGACCCCTTGAAGTTGGGATTTAAGCTTATAAAATTTTTCAACTTGATGCCTTGTTCTGATGAGATCCTTTGCCATCACTCTAACAGCTCCCTATTTTTTAGAAATCAAACTCAGATGGATTCTCAAGTACTTTTGCTCAACAACAACAATTGTTTCACTAGTATCTGATTCATTAGCTCATTAGCTCTGATGTACACATATGTATGCACTAATGCACTTCAGTAAATGCAAAATGATAAACAGAGAATAGTTGGGGAATATGAAGTATATCTAGTTACCTATAGATGTGTACACGTACACATTTACCTACTCAAAAGGAATGTGCCAACCAACTCCTTAAATATGGAGTAGTCAAATAAGCTGCTTGTATAAGGAAAATAAGTTCATGTAACCAAAACTATCCTTGACGCATGTTTTTTATGTCTACACTGATTGCAGCTATACTATATTACTATGTACTAATAATAACAATAAGCATGGGGGGGGGGCTATGAAACAAACCATCTGGCCTTGCTTTGCACTTTTCTTTATCTCTGCAATCAATTTTTTCTCTTGCGTTTGTAGCCCTTGTCTCTCCCTTTCTATTTCTCTGATTGACTTGTCAAGCATCCGCTTGTTCTCACGCAGGAGCTCTGAAACAACATTTTGTAGTTGCAATTGAACAATTCATTTCACAATATTCACCAAAAACTATAATATTTATAAATCAAGAGTTCAAGACAACAAAATTGAACGATGCAATGCTGCAAATGTACACAGTGAGAACCTTTTTTTCAGTTGAATGAGCAGACAAACATAAACAGAACTTTCAAAAATAATGAGATAGCAAATCATCTAACATTATCACTCTAACAGAGTGAGATGGAGCTAAATGTTCTCAGTTTCTAAAGATTAGAAAAGAGTTTGAAAAGTTAAAGAAACAGACAAATGGTATGACACTATGATACACCAATACTTTATTTGCTTGCCAAATCTCCAATACTAACTGTCTCAAATACTTGGATATTCCAAAATGAACAACATGTTGAATAAAAATGATGTGTAGATGTACCCATATCCTAGAATTGATGTATCTTTGTCCGTATCCACGCAACATAGGTAGGTATTAGAAAAGTGAAATACGACTAAAGCAATATATCAGTAATATCTCATTAGATCAGTGAGCTTTTGTAGGTATTTTTTCACCTAAAACCAGCTTATTGTCAATCAAAGATAAACTTTTTTTCATTTTGCAGATTTAAAATTCAGTAAGACTGCAATTTATCTCCCTAAATCCAACTTTTGGCTACAAGCTTATATCACAGGACCTCATTTTATTCATAAGAGCAAAGAATCTTTACCTTCAATTGAAACTTAAAGCAATAAACAATGAATTCCAGATTATCGTCTGACAAAAAACCAAACTTCTAATACAAATTCCATACAATCAAAAAAACAAGTTGAATCGGCATCAATCCTCCAATTCGAATTACAGACAAGAAAAAAAAGATCAAATCACACAAAATTGAGTAGAACACCCGAAAATATCACTGAAAATCAAACGCATCTAAGCGTAAAGAGCGGACCTGCGGGAGACTTCCTCCTTCCGAAGAGGAAACTCATGGCGATTGTTCGAACGATCGACTCTGCAAGCCAAAAGAAATGGTATTGGTGAAGGAGTCGTCTTCTTCCGATGATTTTCTCTATCTAAAAATTAAAAAGCAGAGGTCGTCTTCTACTTTTGTTTTGTTCTTTTCCTTTCCGGAGGCTTACGTATTACGCGGCAAAGAGGGCCTGCATTGAGATTCATTCGACCCATCGATTGCGTCCATATGAAGGCCCAATATAGTTTCTTTTTTTCAATAAGGAAGGTGTGTTTTTTTCTAGTTTGAAAAATTATTTAACAGTGTACCCAGTGGTGTACCTAGGGCTATTCATAAGTCAGAGACCGGATCGAATCGGATCGACATGTACCAAATCAAAAAAGACCAAATTGAAAAAAATCACATACTGATGATCAGATCTAAATCTATTTGGATTTGCACCAGATCGATTCGAACAGAAATACGTAGGATCGAACCAGTCTGGACTGAATAAAAAAATATATTTTTTTAATTATTTTAAGTAATTAAATATATATTAGACTATTTACTTTGTACTGTTCAAATAGGAAAAAAAATGCAACCTAAAAAAAATACACAATATGAACTACTTCTATAGTTCTATGTAGAATCATAAAAACCAATATGAAACATTTTTTATTTTTTATTTTAAATTACTTAATAAAAATTATCTTAATTAAGTAAATTAAAATATCTATTAAAATAGAACATCAAAGTGTAATACGGAACTTAAAAACTAGAGTTTTAATATTTAAGTCTTTTAGGTCCAGTAGAGTTATTAGGTCCATTCATTCTATACGGTCCATACCTAAATCATTTTGGGTTTAGATCGAACCGTACCAAAACCCTAATACTTCAATTTTATGAACCGAAAACCGACCCGAAATTCACTCAGTCCGTGTTTGGTCTGGACCTAACGGTCCGGTTCGGTCGAGACCTAAATGTGAACAGCCCTAGGTGTACCCCATATACCCCCACACTTAGAGTGAAAGCTGACAAGAGGAATGATTGAGCAGCGAGAATACCTCGCGGATATAAGCATGTCTTGTTGACTTGGGTAATCACCAGGAGTATGACATAAATTACACTGGTACATTTGCTCATGTCGCCAAAATGGGTAAGGTACGCCACGACCGACAGACATGGCCACAAATTACAACGTCATGATCGTCTGTTGAAGCAGAGTATCAAGCTATGGCGAATGCTTATGTTGAGATTCGATGAGTGCGAGATATTCTCATTGCTCTAGGCGTGCCAATTCTTTACCCTCATCGACTTTATTATGACAACAAGTCTGCCTTAGATATTGCAGCCAATCAGGTGTTTCACGAACGCATGAAACATATTGATGTTGATTGTCATAGGGTTTGTGAATCTGTTTGGTGACACAAGGTGTCCACAAGATAAGTTCCTACGCACTGTCAGCTTGCGGATATTTTGCTAAAGCTTTATCAAAACCTATTTTTGATTTTATACTCTGCAAGTTGGGCATTCATGATTTTCATGCGCTAACTTGATGGGAGTGTTAGCGAATATTTGTAAATAAATTTAGCTTCATAGTATTTTGGGCTTGACTTGAAGCCCGTTTATGTACTTGTTTATATATCGGCTTGTTATTAATGAAACGCAGAACAGTTTACGCCAAGATTTCTATAACTACAATTTAGTTATTACAAATTCTTATGTGGTTCTTAGGTTCGTACTTATATTATAAACTTTAGTACATAAATACCATAATGTAAGACTACCATAATGTAAGACTCAAGTTTTTTGAAAAAAAAAGATCAGCATGTAAACCCATAAAGAATGTTAGATTGTCCATGTTTTACATGTAGATCTTAATACCACAAAAACACAATTGTTACTCCCTCCGTCCTATAATGATTTTCCCGGTTCATTTTACGAAGTTTGACCGACTTTATTTTCAATTCAATTTATTTGATTGTAGGTGTAAAATTAAAAAATAAAAATTATATATTTAAAAACTACATCAAAAGTTCTACAAAACAAGTGGTGAAAAGACTATATTATTTTATCAAATACCTAATGAAAATAGGTAAAGAAAGTGATTAAAGTTTGACCGTGTAAAAAGTGTGTGGGAAGAACATTATAGGACGGATGGAGTAGTTATTAAGTTTGAATTTGATATTTGAAATTTAGAAGTTTGTATATTAGAGCTTGACGTTAGAATGCTAGATAACTACATACTCCATATGTCGAGGAATGTTCTTTCTCTGTCGACTTGGCATGCACTTATTTAGACATGGGAAAATCCTGCTATCTCTAAGCAGTTGAGACACATTTTATAATTTCCTCTTCTTCTTTTTGTCAATAGAAAAGTACTCCAAAAGTGGTATAGAGCAGCGAGGGATGCTAGGAATACACCAAAAGTGTACCCCAAATGTACACCACCCTCTGCATTAACACTCATTTTTATTTATTTATTTCTTTATTATTTTGCATGCCAAAATATGTGTTAATGGAGGAGTGGTGTATATTTAGAGTATATGTTTGGTGTACCACTAGCATTTTGTAGAGCTGAAAAAAACAAAACAAAAAGGTTTGTGACATGGTGCCTAACTAAACTAACTAAAGGGCACCAACACAAAATATGATCCCAATTCCCAAATAGACACAATTTAAGGTTAACCAAATGTGTAAATTACATAAACACCCCATGGGAAATGGCTTTATTCATTTTCAAACTTGCGGTTCCATAAACCGGCAATTCGTCCCCATTTGCTTCCCCGCCTCCGGCATCGCCGCCGATATTCTCGAGCTCAAACAGATCCGAGCTGCTACAGCTCATTCCGTCTTCCTCGTCGTCGTTCGGGTACTTTTCTCCTTGCAAATCTCGAAAACTGTTAACGTTGTTGTCCCCGATTAATCGGCCGCCGCCGCCGCCTTCGTTGAGAATCACGTCGACGGGGCAAAACCTGACGCTTCTTTTCGATTTCGACGGCGCCGCCCCCTTGCTCAGGCAAGACGCCGGGTGGGTCGATGTCCTCATCGATCTCGATTTCCGCACCGAATTCCTCCGTTCCTCCTCCGCGGGCGGCGGCTCCCGGCGGTGTTTGGTCTTCGCGCCGAAGATTGAGTTCAGCAAGTTGCACAGCTTCCTGCCGGGAGAAATAGGCGTTTTGATCTTCTTCAAGTCGCCGTGAAAACTCACGGCGGCGCTCGACTTCTTCGGCTTGGCGGACCGGTCTCCGGCAGCGGAGTTGGCGGCCGTTGTCGTTGACCCAGCCGGGAAAGTGTTTCTGGCGGAGATTTCCTTCCATTTCTCGACCATGAGCGCTCGCCGGAGGCTGGTGCATTCCCGGCCGCGTGGGAATTGGGTTTCCATTTGGTGCCGGATGGAGGGCGTGTTTGGATAGAGGGATTGATGATGATTTTTGGGACATTTTAAGGGAGAGAACATTCCTGTAGACCGTAGTGGTGGAAGTCAATGATTACCGTGGTCTGAGAAAAAAGTTTACTCCCACTTCAAGGAAAAAGTAAAACTAGGGGTGGTAAATAGGGAGTAAATATGGTCCGACCGTCCAAGACAAAATAAAAAGAGAGGTTACATACAAGATTAAGTTATTTGCAAATCAAAGTACTCTATTTTGTATTCCAAATGTATATATTGACATTTTATGCTAGTCTAAGTTAATGAATTGATATATCTACATCTTCACTTGCAGTAAATACGTAATATAAAATTAACAAATTTTATAAGGGATCATGCATATACTTAAAAAAGCATATAAGGGATGCATACCTCCACCTTTAACAAATAAACGAATTTTTTATGAGTAATTTACCAAATTATTGTTAAATCATAATGACTTTCTCAATGTAGTATCATATTCCCTCCGTCCCAAAAAGAATTTCTTACTTTGATTAATGTGCAAAATCTCGTAGATTTTAAAATGATTTTATTTACAAATTGGTAAGAAAACAACACATAAAAAATTATATTTAAAACTATATCGAAAACTCTACAAAATAAAAAGTGAAAATAATATTTTATTTTATCAAATGATCAATGAAAATACGCAAACAAATAAGAGTTATCGAGAAGCCGAATATGAAAGACTTTTTGGAACGGATGGAGTATGTTTTTATTTATTAATGTTACTGTTTAATGTCTACTGGTCATTATTCAAATAAATGTTCAGTGCCATTGAGCATTGTTTAAACTAAAATGTTCAGTGCCATTGAGCATTGTTTATTCAAGTAAATGTTCAGTACCACCACTGCACATTATTCTCGCCTCTAGACATTATTCAAATACTATTTAGAGACTAGAAAAGTTTAAATACTACATTGAAAAAGAGAAAAGTGCATCGTTTATCCTCGAATTATTTCAGAAATTCGACGCTTTACCCTGAACAATAAAAATTGCACAAAATATCCCTAAACTCTTCAAAAATTGTACTGTTTACTCATGAACATTTAAATAAAGACGACAATTTTGAGGAAAGGTACTTTGGAAAATTCACAAGGGTCAGATGAATCATATTCGCAATTCTTGTGTGTGGAAGCAACGCACTCCCTATCTAATAGTTTAGGACCAACGATGCAACTGTTTAATTTGTTCAAGGGTATTTGGTGCATTTTTTAGTATGAGGGGTAAATCGTGCAATTTTTGAAGAGTTCGAGGGTAAACGGTGCACTTTTTATAGTTCAGGGGTAAAGCATGCAATTTCTAAAGAATACGGGAGTAAACAATGCTCCATTGAAAAATACCGTAACATATACGGAGTATTTTAATGCTGTAAATTTCGCATGTTTTATGTGCAGGAATATACATAGTCCGTTTGTCTTTACGCAAATGTGAAGTTATAAGACTTGAATTGGTAGGAGAAAAGATTATCCAACCTCATTAACTTTTTGTGTTTTAATTTTCATAAACATGAATCAACAGTCCTAACATATCTACGAGTATTTACTACTTGGTAATTCAAATATGTGAGATGAAAAAAAAAAAAGAATTATGTAATTATTAAAGTGATTTGGTAAAAAAGGAGAAGAGGTCTATTTCTCTCATGTTTTTTTTCTCTTGAATTTTCAAAAGTAATTATTTATTGGGGAAACTCGTAGATAAGAGTAAAAAAACTATGAAAATATCAAAATATGAGTAAACTTGTCTATTGTTACATTATCACACACACCGCATTGTCACTTTGTAACCTTCACTCCATCATCTGTCGCTGCTGGCAACCAGAGTGCCGCCGTAGATCACCGACGGTTGACTGTAACCTTCACGTACGTATGCCTACGTACACTTAAGTGCTAATCGTTTGTATTACATCATTAATTATTTACTTTTAAACACTTTTTCCTATTTTTTACTTTTACTATGTGAAAGTTGAGTACTCCGCATTAAATAAGAGTTTGGGTGAAAGACTAATGACTTGAAAACGAAGCTTGATACTTTGATTAGAATATCACTTTCTGTTAAACATGCAATTGTTCTAAACTTCTAATAATGAAATGAGTATTTAATGTTCTTGAAAATGACTAAAGTGGTTTCAAAAGATAAAAGTTGCTACTGATGAAATGGCTAAATTAACTTATAATCCAATTTGCTTTTTGTTAAGTATTTTTTTAAGAGTTATGCTTGATTCATCATAACATTTTAATCACACTCATTAATCTCATTCTTACAAATATTCACTCTTACAAATATTACAGACACGGAACAATGTTGAATGTCTCTAAGAATGAAATTAAAGAGTGTTGTTTAAATGTTAGGGCTAAAATAACATTTTTCTTTTTTTGAATGTGATCCAATTACAAGTGAAAATTAAGATATTTACACTACTAGGGGTGTTAGTTTATTACATTCATCCTCATTTTGGCTAAATTATTCACTCATGTTATTTTATATTGACAATTTTGCCCTTAAATTTAGGTTTTGTCAAATTTTATATTTTATGAGATAAACTCCACCTGTTTTTATATTTTATGATTCAGTTACGGAGTATTATATTTCAGTTATTAGACTTCAATTTTTAATTTTCTAATTTTAATGTCTACAGAAAACATGACATTTAATTATTACTTGTGGTTGAAGTTATGTTTGGTAGTTCACCAACTCAAAGTGGTACTCTTTTCTTTTACACGGTAGCGTTTGAGACTTTGAGTTGCAATCTTTTACATTTTCAAATTATTCATATTCAGAGACACAGAGCAATTGGTGATAAAAACTCTGTAGGGATGAGCATGTCCAGAATCGATACCAAAATTTCCCAAAAAATTGATATTACCGAACTAAAAATACCGAGTCGATAAAATACCAAAAAAGAATCATACGGTACCAGACGGAAAGGTCGGTCCGGTATTTGAATTGAGATCGATATGAGGTAAATTCTCATATCAAAAAATCTTGAACCGACATATATACAAATACGTTATAAAAATAACAATATTTTTATATTTCATCATTAAAATAAAATGATTTTGAAAAGTTGGTTCAATTGTAGATTAATTACAAATAATCTTTTATTTATATAACCATTTATTTGAATTTTATTTTTTTTGTAGATTTATATATATATAAAATTAACAAATATTTGAAATATTATTTGGTTATCATTCGTTCTCTTTTGTTTGGGAAATGTGAAGTACAAATTAAATAGAAATCATCCTAAATAGGACTAAAACATAGAGAAAAGTACCAAAATAGGACTTTCATGTTTTTTTCCCGGAATAGGACTTTGCACTGTGGTAATGTGACTTTGCATTGTGGTAATGTAGCAGTGTACATGTACAAATTACTATACTTTCTTGGTAATGTATATGACCATGTTTGGTAATGTAAGTCTTATTTCGGGAATAAAAACATGGAAGTCCTATTTTGGTATATTTTCAATTTTTAGTCCTATTTTGGTCTTTCTCCCTAAATTAAACTAAGTTTTATAAGTATTTTTTGCATTTAATTGTTTATCTTTCTTTTATTTGAATGTACTTTCGATTTTATTTAAAATAAAGAATTTCGTACATTCCAAAGTGTAAACTAGCTACGTATATATATTCGTCCCAATATTTACCGAAATCGAACCATACCAAACCGATATTTCAGGATCGAGATCGGTTGGAAGTAAAATCTCATACCGAACCGAAATATTTGGTACGGTATCGGTACAAAATTAAGAATCGTACTAATGTACCACGCTCACCCCTACGTAAATATACTCTCTCATCCTTACTAGACTCACAATTAATATTTAGATAAAATAAATTGAAGTGAAAAAATAATTAATTCACAGTAAGCAATATCTAGATATACTCTCTGTCCTTAAAAGATTGTCGTAATTTGATTTTTTTTGTCAAACTGTGGCATCCTTTGATAGTGAAATATAGAAAAGATATATTTAGTTATAATGTAAATTGTGAAATTTGCAGTAAATATGACTAAAACATAATGACTTTCTTAATGTAGGACTTAAACTTTTTTATTCCCTAAATACAACTTAATAATGACCTAATGAAAGGAATAATGTCCAGTAATGATGGACATTTAGTTGAATAATGATTACTTGATAATGACCAGAGGTCCTATATTGGGAAATAAAAACATATGGTCCTATATTGGGAAAGTCATTATGTTTAAGTCCTATTTAGGTAAATTTCTCATGTAAATTTAGTAAAACTGGATTTATTTTAAAATATAATTTTGAAATATCAAATTTCTATAACATTTAATTATTTTAAATTATATTTAATTTGTGATCAAATGATGCTAGATTGCTAGAGTTTGATTAGAAAAATCAAATTCTCATACTCTCTCCGTCCCAAATTATTTGCTACATTTGTATTCTTGAGGAAAAATATCAAGTTCTTTTAATTCATTTTATTTACATATTGGTATAGAAATAAAAAATAAAAATTACGTATCAAAAAACTACATGAAAAGTTCTTCGAAATAATAGGTGTCAAAAATATTTTATTTTATCAAATAACCAATGAAAACGTTGAAATAAACAAAAGTTTCTACGACTGTTGAAAAAGCAAATGTTGTGAATATTTAGGGAAGGACTGAGTACTCCGTAATATTTTAGGGATTGAGGAAAGTAAAATTAGTTCAAGGGGCAGTCCTAGACTACTATGCAATGCATCAAAGTCTATCTCCGTGCAATAATAGTGTGTTTGAGGAGTGGAGACATTTTATTTGACCCAAAAACACTCATTTGTACAATTTCATTATTATATTGTTGTGTGCCAATAATGTAATCATCACAAACTGACTTTGTGTTTGTTCATTATTAGTGGTATAGTTTTGAAAAAAAAGTTCAAGCTAATTTGAACTCTTTTCACAATAGAAAAACCAATATAAATAAAGTGTAGATGTATAGTGTCTGTTTTTCTGTATTAGTGCTTATTAACTTATTGTTTATAAATAAATTTTAACTTATAAGTTGTTTATAAGTTAAAGTTCTTTCGTTTAGATAAAATGACTAAAATGATATGTAAGTCATTTGATCGAGGATATTCATAACGGGTGAGGAAATTTTTTGTAAGTAATTTGGTCAAAACGGAGAAACGAAATAAGTACGTAAGACATACTTATTTTTTCTGGCTTATAAGCAACTTATAAGTCATCTTATAAGCACAAAAAACACGTCATCTGTTGATTTATAAGTTAAAAATAACTT